CAATTTATATTTCCCTTAAACATACAAAATAATAGTAATAATTTAATTTAATTTATTAAAAGATATATTAAAATATTAATAATTTTTATTCATTAATTTAAAATCCTTTATAACAATCCTCACGAGTAGCGATTTTATAAAGAATTTAACCACAAGTTCTCCTCTTCAAGTATTAAAAGAAAATAAATAATTTTAAAATTAAATTAAATATATTTGACCAATTTTTTTTCTTAAAATAACGTATTTTAAAGTTAAAAATATAACTTAAAATATTAATAAACTTTTAAAAAATATATATATTTATAAACAACACACGTAATTCTATAAGTAAACTTACATTTTCTTCCCCTTAAAAAAATATATTTATTTTCTTTAATATTTTAACTAAAATTAAATATTTTAAAAGGTTATTTTTATCTTTACGACTTGCTAAATATAAAAATAAAAAATTAAGAGAAAAATCTTTCGATATCCTGAATTGAGGTCGTGTTGATGACGTATTCGAACAGGCCAATGTGACGTCATCGAGGCAGACCAAATGTTAGGGTGTCCGATGGCCTAATTCGTGACGATAAAATTATATAAAATTTTCTATCCTTTATCCGTGACTCTTTACTGTTAAATATCACCAGGAAATAGGGTGTGATTTCTGAAGATAAACCAGGGCAAAACCTTACAAGAGACATTTCATACGAATTTCGTGAAATGATTTTTAGGACATGTTTATTGCATTTCGTGTAATTTTATAATTAGTTTCCTCCCCCTAAAAGTAGAGTTTAAAACAATAATAAACAATCTTTGAACTTTAGAAAAAAGGCGCATCATTTACTTTATATTTTAATCAAAATTTTACACTTCCACGTGATTAATTAATATATAAAAATCGTTTAAATACGCTAAAAAGTTTATAAAATACGTAAAAATTGAATAATTTGGAGGTTAGAAGAGCTCTAAATATAAGAAAACTTCGAGCGCTCGTACTATAATTTAATTCGTAGTAGGCTTACATAAGGTAAAGTCTGTCTGTTTGTCTGTCTGGAACACTTTCCAGGAAAGTTATAGAGATAAGAAAACAGGAAAGAAAAAAAAATAAGCAAAAGCGTAGACTAATGGCCGTAAAACAAAGCATCCCATCATCACCTAATCGCTTATTTATGTCGAGCTGGACTAACATTCCTCTAACGAAACATAGAAGTATCCTTTAATGTGAGAAAAGTGTTTACGGCCAGATCATTAAATTTTTACCACTAAAAGTGTTTCTATCTTTTTAACTAAGTACATTTTGGTTTATATCTTAAGGTCAAGGTTTGACTTGGAACACTTCCTGCCTGTTTAAAAGTTTAGAGGCGATCGTCATCAAGGACAAAGATATGTCTCGAAAGAAAAATTCTTGCCAAATTGGCTTAAGGCTAAATGTATGGTACATGGTTTTAATCTTTATAAAATGATAGAATCGTGACCGATAAAATCATTCGTAATACGTCATCTCGAGTCATAAACAATGTTATATAAAGAGAAAGTTTTTGTCTCATTTATATGCATTAAACAAAGATAAAATGAAAAAAAATAATATATTTAGTAATTAGACGTGATTTCGATTAAGAAAAATAAAAATTTCTCGCCCATTTATTGATGTATATTATATTATAACAAGATTTATTTAGTATGAGTACAGTGTGGAATGTTATACTGTATTATAGTTACTGTAGAGTACTTAATAATAGAACAATTAAATGCTCTTCTGTACAGTACACTGAAGTATACTTCAACACATTATAACAAGAGTTATATAGTGTGTATATTATTCTGTATTGTGGTTAACTTACTATAGAGTACATAATAAGAAGTACAGTAAAATACGTCATTTTTAAACAGTATAATACAATAATAAAGTGTACTTCTGTAAAGTACAGTGAAGTACAGTACTTGTTATAACAAGATTTAAATAGTGTGATATGTTATACTGTATTGTGGATAAGTTACTACAGAGTAGTTAATGAGAAATACAGTAAAATGCATCATTTTTATACCGTATAATATAACAATTCAGTGCATTTCTATACAATACAGTGGAGTACACTTCAACACTTATTATAACGATTATAGAATAAATAATAATGCAAGAATAAAGAACAATTTAATATAGTATTATACAGTATGGTGTAAGGATGTTGTTAAATGTCTAAATTTAATTTTTTTTAAACCTTTAAGAGTATTATTATCAGAATAACTTTGGAATTTATGCAGAAAAGTCTGTGGGTTACGTGATTCGTATGTTAATGAAGTACTGTAATTACCAATCAAAGTATCTTTCTGGAAAAGTCACAATTTTGAAATTTCGAATTATCTTTCTTTCCTCATGAATAAGAAGTGAGGTCAACACTTTGAAGAAATATTTTAATAAATATTAGCATTATACAGGTGAACCATAAATGGTTAAAATAATTATGAAATAATAAAAGAAATATTTGTTAAAATAAAATTCGTCTCGTATGTATTATAAATATAAATATTTTTTTTATTAAATATTAAAACATTTTATAAATTTTAAACTTTTGAGGATTTTCCATTATTCATTTTGATTTTGTAAAGTAAAAACATGCAAAAATTATATTTTAAATGATAATGTTGCCACACTATATGCTAAACAACACACTATAAAACACTACATAGTATATAACACATTATATAATGTATAAAATACACTATATATATATATATAGTGTCTTTTATAATATATAAAACGCACTATTTGCTAAATAACATTATGTATTACACAACACAATACACTATAAAATACACTATATAACACTACTAAGCATTATAGCATACACTAATGTTTCTGGCTATAACTTTAATTAATTATTTATTTACATATAAATTTTTTGTAGGTCTATAATATGCATAACATAGAATTACAGTTTTAAAAATAGATAATGAATTATTTATATAAAGAATAAATAAAACCATAACTTTATATGAGCTGTGAGTATAAAAGTTTATGCTGTCAAAGGTGCTCTCTTAATGTAGAAAAAATAAAGTTTATAATATTTTAATAGTTTCAAATATTCTAAAGTTTTTTTAAAAAATAATTTAAGTTAATTATAAATAAATTTAAAACAGGATTTTTGTATACTTTCTATGTATAATAAGCATGTAAAAAGACGAGTTTAGAAGCGCGATATTGCGACTAACAAGTGATAAAAATTAGAATATTTTAAGTTAAAAATATAGAAAAGATCGACTTATTTAAAGTAAATACAACTTTATATTTTTAAATACATATTTTACAAGAAAATAAAAAAAAAGTTATTTTAAACAATAAAGAAAAATTTGGGTTAAAGTAAGCTAACGATCTGAAACATTTAGCCTTAAGTCTAATGATAAAAATCGAATAAAATATTAAATCGACCTAATTCTTTTAAAGAATTGTTATCAAATTAAAAGTAATAATAATTAAAAATTAATTTTTATTTCATTTAATTAAAAAAAAACGACATTAAAATTAGAGATTAATAAACTAATAAAGAGAGTTCAATATATATTTATTTACCCTAGGATATAATGTTTTGATGAACATTTTGAGATGTTTTCTCTTGAAAGAGGTTGAAGGTTCTCGTGAAAACTTTTATTACCGATCATAAAAATACTTGGAGGATGTCGGATTCATACGTAAATAACTTCTAAAGTAATTCTCTCCTTGTTCAAAATGGTTTGCAACTTGCTCTCACGTTTTCCAAGCTTCTTAATCATTAACCATGACTAAAAGTTTATTCAAGTCATTAGTCACGCTAAGAAATTAATTAAAAAAAAGTAATTTTATAACAGTTTCTTAAATTTTCAAGCNAGATATTTAAAATATTTAAAATATATAACCTTTTTTTAAGCTTATAAATATAACGTTAACATTTGTTTTAAAAAAAGTAAAAAAAAATATTATATTTTAATTTATGAAATGAATTTATTTTGTTAAAATATTTTATAAAGTTTAGATTTATATAAAATTTAATTAAATTTTCATGGTTTAAGATGTAAAATTATATTTATAAACAACTGTAAAATGTTAAATATTTTGTGGTTTTTCGTTGAAAAGTTTGGGTTTTTACTAAAAATGTTTACATTTTTAATAAATAAAACTATATTTAATGCTTAGTTATAGTTTAAAATTATCGATATTTTGCAATTTTAATGCTAATTTATTTATTTTTTTTAATAAAAAGTGCTAGCACGTGTATAAGATTTATATACTTAACATTACGCAATTTATTCAGAAAATATCATTAAAATTGCAATAATTTTAATACTATCAAAAATATAACACGTATAAAAGTATATTTATTCATTAATGTTTTATGATGTTTAAATTTATATAGGATATGTTGCCAAATTCTCATGTTTTACTTTGTTTTTTAAGTGTGATCAAAGGCGATGCGATCAACCATATCCTTATGCATAAACAATGCTTATGAAATTCAGTTAACAAGAAAATTATAATTTTTTTTACAATAATTTAAATAATACAACGTGATTTTAATATAAAAATATTGAAATTAAATGTCGGATAGATTATATTAATATTACTCCATACATAGCGCATATTTAAGTGATGTTTGGTTTGTTAATCAGTTGTTGAAGGCACGTATTTTGGTAAAGAATAGAGAAGATTAAGTGAAAAAATTATACAAAATACACTTTTTTTAAATATTTTAAACTATTTTGATAAGATTAATAATGAATTTAAGTGAAAATTTTCATTAAAATTCAATTTGAAATGCATAATAAAATGAATTTCAGTAACTTATCGTTGCTACGTTGGCTCATGTTTTAGTAGGAAAATTCTAATTTACTAAAATTTTATATGAATAATATATTAAAATTATATTAAATTAAGGTATAAATTTATATATTTTAAATGATTTTTAATTAATTTTCTACTTAACAACTTCAAGAAACGAAAAATGAAAGCAATTATGCTATCATTTTTTTCGGTCATAAATAAGTATATTAATTTAATTTAATTTAAAAAACTTTAGAATTTAAAATTTTTTATTTATCAATTTAAGCTTAAAAACTTTCTAAATTTTCATAAAAATTAAAAATTTTTTGTATATATTTACATAATTTCTGTATATAAAAGTACAGTTTATACGTAACGTTTGATAGAGTTTAATGAATAAATATCAGCAACTAAATATGCAGATTTCTATCTTATTTCAGCTACAAATAGTAAGTAAGTGATGCATGTATTCAGTGAAGTTAAACTAAATACACGTATAACAAATATCACACGCACACTAGAATCGCTCGCGCGAAAAAAAAATATGCTTTATTATTGAAGTGTGCAATGGATTCTACCTGTGGTATCGTCGTTTATCATTACAATTAAAAAAGGTACATAAGAATTTAATTAATTAAAATATAATTAAAATATTATCTTAATAATAATAATCATTTTCAAAAATTAATGTAAAATAAAGTGACTTTTACGAAATTATCTCCAAGTGTTAAAATGTCGTGTTACGCGATTGGCATAAGAAAAAAACCGTAAAAAAGTTTATATTTTCCTCTTAAATTGTTTTAGATTCCCATGAGAATCAAAGAGAAAACATTCGAAAGTAATTACGAGCATCAACTACCAGAAATTGTATGGAAAAGAGAAAAAAGAAGAAGAAGAAGAAGACACGACGATGATCATTAAAAATGAGTTTTTCTCTTTGTGGACGGTCGAGTTGTAAAAACTTTTACTGATTTAATTAACTTAATGGATTAGGACTATAAAATATTTAAATCTAATTAATAAAATAATAAAATTTTAGATGCTATTTTCATTTTGTATAATGATGCGAAGTTAATTATCGATTTAGAATTGTAACGTAAACAATTTTAATATATTTTAAAAATTAAGAAAAGATTTTATTAGTTAATTTTTTTCGAAATTGAGATGGGAATGACACCACCCTATTACATATATCGTTACAGTATTTGCATACACACGCACACACATCGTGATTAAATTCTATATTTGGTTATGTTTATTGGATTTCGGAGTGGGGAGGGCCACCTGTAAGGCATCATTAAAATGCAGCATTGTTTTAGTATGTCTGTCCTAAGTTTCAGCTTTCTGTTTTAATTAGAAATGGGATGAAAGTTAAGTTGCAAGATTTGAGGGTTTTTTTTTTAAGTTAATTTGAGATTTTTATACTGAAATTTTAATTATAATTTATTTAAATCTTATTTTTTGATATACATTGTTTTGTTTTTATTTTAGTATTTACATATTTTGCAAATAAATGTGCAAGTTAAGGTTACATCACTTGTTCAGAGTATTAATACATACATATTTAATGTTTAGAGTAGCATATAAAAATGTATGCTATTCTAAATTGCATATATACTAAATATAAGTTAATATAAGCAAGTAAAGAAAGTTTTATATCGCTTGCTTATAGGGCAATAAACAAGTGAATAAGTTTATATGAAGGTTTAATACATGGATGTACTGTACAGTACAGTACAGTACTACTATATTTGAAGTTTAGTAGTATATACTACTACTATAGATTATCCTATATACTACTATACTTTAAATACGTACTGTACTGTGCTGTACAGTAGAATTCATCCAAATACATCTTTAGAGTATTAAAGCTGTTGTATTTCGAGTAGAATTTTTCCTCTAAATCTCTCTAATTTTAATTTATTCCTTAAATTAATGTTAAATTTGATAATTTTTGATGTAATTTTACTTACATTTTCTATCATTTTGATAAAACAACCACTTTAAAGAAAGAAAAATTAATTAAATCATAATTAAACACTCGTAATTACGCCTGTTAATTATGAGTTAAAATAAGTAGAAAATAAAATAAAATAATTACAATTAACAATTATTATATTTAAATAAGAAAAATGTAATGCATTTTTATAATTTTTACTATTCTAAATTCTTTAGAAGTAAATAAAATGCTTATTTTTTTTAATCATTACATTAAAATGACACACTAAATTACAAATATTACTGTGAATAAGGAGGATAGTTTGTTGAAAAAAATTTAAAAAAAATCTTTCTAAGCAATTTTAATGCTCAGAAACGCATGTAAATGTCATAGAAGACCACCCATACATTGATACAGGTCACATACAAAGTATCAAAAATTGTCATATTTTTTTATTATTATTTTAATCAGAAAAATTTTTATTATAGATCCTGTTTTCGGTATAAATGACGTCATGCATACGTAGCCTCGACCTTAACCTTGTCCTGAAAATTCCCTTGTCAGAAATACGGTCAGTCACCTGTATGTTTACTGATGATCCTGCTAGGTGGGTTATCTTATACAGGTACCTTTCGAAAAGAACCGTATATGGAAGTCGATTATCTATCCATTGTTGACGTGTTTCGTCTTCTAATATCGAACTTAGATCAAAGAAAGTAACGCAAACGTCACTAACTTCGTCACAATACTTACGTACCTTCATTAAACATAGAGTTTAAAACTGTGTGTTCTTAACCAATAAAAATGATAAAAAGTTACATTTAGAAGAGAATTCATCAACTTTTAATCATTTTTAACCAATAAAAATGAATATTTTTGATATAAATTATAGATAAAATTACATCTAGAATAGAATTAGCTTGAATTTAAGTTATAAAATAAAGTGTTTTTATATGTTTCTATGACCTTTTTCCTACTTTTGGTGGATTCAAATTTTTCTATACAAAATGGAGAAATGCCTTTATGACTCTTTAAAGGTTTTGTGCGTGGGTATGGAATTTTGTTTTGTATGTTAATCGCTTCAAATATGTATAATTTTATAGTGCATACAGAAATATTTTATTTATTTAAGTGTACTGTACTGCATATCTATCAGAACTTTTTCTTATGTTTTGTACAAAAATTTAGATTAATTTCTGTATTAAAAGCACAGTATATATATATTTTAAATTTAATATTTTATTGTTTAAACAATTGTACTAGAAGAATTGATATAGAAAGCTTTCCTTTTCATTAAAGGAACTAATGAGGAAATATGGCTAAATTTTTATATTATTAATAAAGAATAAAAGTTTCATTCTTCATCTGCGCGATTTCTATGCAATAAAAAACAAAAACAAGAAAAAAAGAACTTAAAATTCCAAAGTTTAAACAGTTTATTCAACTTTGCTCCTGCATAAGTTACTCTCATCTCATTTGCATAGAATAGAATACCACAAATAAGAAAAAAAAAATCATACCAAAAATATCCCAATTTTTCCTGTTCCTTCTTTGGTAATGTTATAAAAACACCATTTTATTAATATTTTTATTTTAAACAAAATTTAAAAATGTAAGTGTAGGCCTACACCTGACATAAAATCGAATTTTAAGATGCAACGTGAATTGTCCTTCAGGTATTTTATTGACAACTATCTTAAATTAATGAGCATATAATTATAAATTTTATACAGTTAAATTGCGTATCAGTAATAGAGAATTGCTTAAAATTGAACGAACATTAAATCAGATGTCAACCGTGTCTGCTAAGTCTATTTTCACTACTATAACACAGAGCTAAACACAAAACCAAGTATCTACATCTATTATATATCCCTACAACGTTCTTAGAGTCATCAGCCATGGTTCTTCAACCTTTAATGTCTGTAATTATAGTGGAGTTGTTGAGACAGGGTGGTATAGGACATTGACAAAAATCACTATTTCGGTTAGTATCACCCCAGGGATAAGTAAGTCTAGGGGAAGAGAAAAAAAAAAAAAGGAATAAAAGCTCTGAAGATACTTTCTACTCATGCAATTCTTCCGTTCTTTCTCTTATTTAAAAAGATAATTGCATTGAGTTAAGTGTAATTGCATTCTATAAATATTGCTCCGGGATAGGTAAATTTTATGTATATCTAAATCATAAATCTGTCATCTTATATATAATATTTTAACAATGTCTATTAACGTTGATATGCCTCAAAAAAATACGCTATAAAAATGGTTGCAAGATCTGAATATTTTATGTTCTTTAAGGTAACTTAATTAGCTTCTACATCTTCTGGATTATAGTAATTTAAAATTTTTAAGTTTAAAAATTGTTTAGAGCTATTTTAAATAGTTTAATACGACGTTTTTAGTTAGTTACATCCTCGGAATAACTGATTATACGCTTAAGATAGTAAGGAATTTTTAGAAAGTGTAATAAATTACTACTTTTCTGAGGACGTAACTGATACTAAAATATCTTTAAAACTTTGTATTTAAATTACTTTCTAATTTTCCTACAAAAAAACTGAGCGTTTTATAGACTAACTTTTCCTACAGGTAATTTAATAAATTAACGAATAATTAATATATTATAATATATAAAGAGTAACTCATCCTATAGGCTACCTCAATAAATTATTGAGTATATAATCATTTAAGGAAGAGGAATATTGAGGAAATTTTAAACTTCAGACACAGAAATTACTACAAAAATGCTCCTTTTTTTCTTTTAAATTTCTAACGTGTATAACAAAAAAAAAAAAAACACTTAATATATTCATAAAATTTGAAAAAATTTTGATTTTTCAAACAAATCTTATTGTGTTGATAGAGACTTATCGGATTACCAAAACATATTTCGAACAAAGAAAAGAGTGTTTATCGATTCGAACAATTGAAAAGAACAATTGGATAGTGAGGGGAGAAGGTGTTGTGTCCTAAATAAACTACACAATGTTACATACAATCACAATAACTTTATAGACATTGTTCTCTGCCCATCTAGCCTTCACCTAGTTATCCAACTACAACCACGATTTCATCACATACCAGGCATATTCCTTAATTTATCTTTATTTATTTTTTTCGCTACTTTTGCAATAGAAATACAACGCCTTCTATAAAATATGTCAAAACAATAGTTAGGGAGGGGTTAATAGTGAAAATGGAATTAAAACTCCACCTTCGAGAACTTGGTCTTAACCTTTGACATTTTTGTGCTCTCCTTTTCTTTTTTTTTATTATTATTTTATCACAAAGCTCCCGAAAATACGATTTTATTTTATAATTATCATCCGGAAGCATTTCATCAGTACTTAATTTTTTATCATATTTTAATAATAATAGGCCTATATTAGCTTAATTTTAAGTAAAATGCCTAGCGTATCTCTGGCATTCTTATTAACATTTTTGGAGTTTAGAACGATTTTCGTGGATTAAAATAACGTTATGTAAGTTGTGTGTTCTTTTTGTTTTGGGGAAATTTTTTTTTGAATGTGGGTGTTGTATTCAATCGCTGTTAAATTAGATAATAAGTAAATAAAAGAAGCATTCCTTCAGGTAAAATTGGAGAACATAACTGTCAGATAAGATTTACAATTTTATCCTGTTCCCGAAGAATAGAGAGTCTAAAGCCATATTCGGAATCAGGGAAAAATAGTATTTTATTACTCTTCTACCGAAGATTTATCTTATTAAAATTTATTATTTTATATCCTATTTAAAACGTTTAAAAAAATAGAAATAAATAAAATTTTATAGGCTTCTTTTACTAAAAGTTTATTACATAAAATGGCTTCGATCTTTCATTAAAAATTTTTTAAAATAAATTAGAACTAATTTAAATTTTAGTATTTTAGTTTTATAAATTTGATCTTTAAATTGATGTATCAGTCTTTATAGATAGTGTTTAAAATTATTGTATAGTTTTTTTTTTCTTTACTACTTTAAATGGGAGAGTCGTGATAAAAGATAATAATTAAATTAAGAATGTCGTCGTGATGAAGTTGCAAAATTTTGTCTTACTTGGATCGTTTACTGATCATCATTTATCGATCCAAAGCCTGAGGGGTTTCTGGGGTGGTCGTGAAGATATCGAGATGAAGCTGCAATTCAAAAGGCACTGCCACTGACTTGTAGGCATGAATGTTAATTGTTTAGATTTTTGTATAGTTTTTTTGTTATTTTAATTAAGAAAAAACTGTATAAAAACCTATAAATTTCCTTACTTTCGTTGCTTTCTTACAATTAAATCCAATAATTTTGCGTTAAATGATATTATTTATCAATATTTTAAAGATTTATTATTAATTTCCGAGGAGATTTTTAGCATAAAAAAGATTTTATAATAATTAAAAAAAACGTTAAATTTAGTTAAAAAATAATCTAGACTATTTATTTTATTAACATATTTAAAAATTCGTTTGGAAAAGTTTAATATCTTAGTCTTTTTAAAGCAAATCTTAAAAAATAAAAGGAATAATTGATGCTATCCCTAAGACGAACGGGGAACTTGTAAACACTCACCTCTTCGACCTTCTCAAACGTAACGTGATGGGCATTGGCCGTCCACCCCCTTACACCTGGCCCAATGGTACGTTCCATACTGTCGGCCATGTTTGTCATACCTGGGTTTACAGTGAACGACTGACAGAGAACTACGATGGTAGGCTTAGGGGTTTAATAGAATCATAAACTGTTTAAGATTACGTTGGACTCATCGTGACGAATATACATCTCCGGAGTGACTACAAACAAAACGAGTAAGTGGCCTACATCCTTCTTGGACACTTGCTGTTTCGCTAAAGAACTGGTTTGTAGTAGACTAAAGGCAGATCTAGTGGTGTGCAGCCAACAATGGAAGCTAGAGGGACAGGTTTTTCGAGTTTCGGGGGATCTTCGCCATCTAGAGACGATTCAGCTAGCCCGGACGAGAGGCCTTCGACAGCCGATTCTTCGGCAGGCCAACCGAGCAAGACATCGAGCCCCGCGGCTGGTCCGGTCGTCAGGTATTGTCCTTACCTATTTTCTCTTTTATTTTATATGATATGTTCCTTATGCCATATTAATACAACCGCACACTTGTAGATCTAAACTGAAAAATCTGGTTTCTCTTAGTGCATCACTTTCAGTCTCTGCACCGTACATTCTCCTCTTCAAGTTTATGACATCAATACTACTTTGTCTTCAAATATAAAATATACTATACTGTACTCTACAAGTATTGTACAGTATATACTATTGCAATAATATAGATGATACGCTAATTTGATAGATATAATCTTGATAATCTTCAAAGTATCGATCTATATCATACAAAATCCTTCCTAAATCTAATACTAGACTCCTAGAATTAAACATTCTTGAACTTGTTAGTTTTTAGTTTCAATTTTTAATAAACGTTATCAACTTATCTTAAAGTTAAGCCCAGTATCATTATCACAAACTCCATTGATCGTTATCACCGTTAACACTTCTTACATTAACCTTTTCTTCTGTAAATTTCAAGTAAAATCATATAAAATTTAATCTGTCCAGTAAACTAAAATATGCAAATTACTTTTTTACAATGATATTTTTGGTCCTTATATATTTTTCAAGTGTGGCGTCGTGATCGCTATAAACAATATGCAAATTACTTTTTTTTTCGTTTAGGAATTGGAAATTCCTCGTCTAAATTGGGGAATGGAATAAGAAATAAACACAATTAATACTTTTCTCAATTTATTTAACATCTATTCTTCCATATACTACATTTTCCCTTTACTTTCCACCCTGTGGACATTAATTAAGAGGGCCATTTAATCAAGCCCATGACGGGTTCGGCTTTGCCGACAATGTTGTTGGATTAAGGTATGGCAACGCAACACTTGGGCGATCTGCCTTTTTTTTAAAGGAAAATGGCCCATATTTAGGCGTTACAGACGTGGAGAAAACCCGGAAAACTCCACGTGGCCAGCCCGTCCGAACCCACGACCGAACTCCTAGTGTTCAGGGTACTGGTGGACTCCTTTGCCAACAATGAGTGAGCCTGCTGGAGAATAGTTGCTTCAAATGTTTCATTAATGGCATGTTACTCTTCAATCATGCTTTTCTATTTGTATTGTAATAAAAAAAGTCTAACGCTAGTATTAACAACGAATAGCAGGCCTACATAAGATCGCCGACAATTGTTATACATTACGTAAAATGTACATAATTTTTTGCAGCAGAATACTACAAAATTAAGCGAGTAAAGTCTGCAATCGGCAAGAGATGCGATCCTCATCTAACAAATTCGGACGTGGTTTTCAGTCAACTAATTGTTATATTTATAGACTTTCAATATTTTTCAAACTTACCAGTTCCTAGGCTCTTGTAACGACGTCTTTAATTCATATATTTCGTTCTGGCTCTTCCAAATTATTATAAGTTTACTCCTGCCTCTGGCAAATTCTTTTCTTTCGATCAATTCTCTGTGAAATTCTATTATCGAGAACCTGTATGCTCATTATATAACGTGGGATAACTCACAAAACAATTCCCGAGATAGAACAATAGATAATAATTTTGAAAATTTTTCTATTTTCCCATCATAAATCAAGGTGAAACACTAATTTCTATAGGCTTCACTGACTGTTTAGAATGGATTTCTCGGTGCCATTACCTATAAATCAAGATCCTTTAAACAGAATTTAAAAAACATATTATTTTTCATAAGATAATTTATTATATTTTACAATATAAGTACTGTGCAACGAGTAGAACAATATAGTAAACTAAGAAAGAACTGAACGGAAATCAATTTTTTAATTCTTTCCAAAATAGAAGAGATAAGCATCGAAACTAATGGCTTCACTCTAAATCTATCATTGATAATTGTTTGTCGATCTTTAATGGACTGTAAAAATATGAAAGTACTGCGGTTTTGCAAAAAATAACGTTTAATGCGGAATGAAACACTGGTACAAAATGGCTGCTACAAATGACCGTTACAGAACTACTCTCGTTCACAAATTTTTTTTTTTCTTTTTTTTATGACAAAAATACGGTGGCGCTTGAGGCGCTAACAATAATGATGTCAAGAGATCGGATAATCTAAAGTAACATATCTATTGAGAGCGATTGTTTCACGGAACATCGAAAAATAATTTTGAAGATCATAAATATATAGCCATTTCCTAAACAATTAGATATGTAACACTGCTGGACCATATTTCAACTTCTGTTCATCAGTGACTGAATAAATACCGTTGAAAACTGATAGTTAATTAAATTAATCGAGGATTCGCTCCACATCAACGGCTGGCGATAGAGATTTTCCGGATGTTTTTTCATAAATAAGGGCTAATTTTTCATGGAATCTCCATTAGCAGATCGCCTGTGTGTTGCATTGTCTTATTACATCAATTTAATTCATATTTCAATTCATCACAAAAACCGATAAATTGAATTTGGGCATATCATTCCACTTGTAGTAGAATTCGCTTTGTTTCGCATGCCCGAACCACAGCAATCGAACCCGGAATCCCGAATATGTTGGGTGTCGTCCATTACTACTCGGCTGATCCATTGTTTGCCTAGCCGAATCCACGATGGTCTTGATTAAGAGGCACGTTTAGAGCATAAAGACAAAATATAAAATATATATATATAAATATTATTATATTATCATATGTTTTCCCACATTTATCTAGTTTAATCGTTAATAAAATCAAAAAATAACAATGAAAAGATTATTTTATTACATTCCGATTTGTAGAGATAATTGTTTTTACATTTTCTTTTCAGATTATTNAAAAAAGTAATAATAAATATAGAAGATAAAGAAGAATAGGCTATAAATTAAACCATTAATGTATAATTTTTCAATAGCTTAATTAGGGCTTATCACAATCGACTAAATATCACGGTGGCTGTTACCAAAATCTTGAATAATCAGATACACCATCTTAAAGAACAGGTGAATGTCCGCATCGGGTTTTGCTTCATGGATGTTTCTAATTCACTGATCATGCGGCCAACACTTCTCTCGAGTAACATTGTCAAAAATAAATACATTTTACCAACAACTTTCTTTCAGATAAACGTGCTTACAAACGGGTTAACTTCATATCACTTTCTACGTTCTACAAAAATAAAAAAATTAAATCAAAAATAACCATTTTATCATAACATTTCTTTATAATATCACAGCTTAGAATATCGTGTGGCCGATGATCTAATAATAGCGATTCATTCATACGTGTTAAATTCAAATTGAGTTGTATCTGATATTAATCCTTATGGGCGTAAATTCTAATTAAAATATTGTATATAATCGTCATAAAAAAAAAAGATTTAGAGAGAGAGAAAGAAAGAAAAAAAAGAGCAAACAAACAGAAAATTAGGTCAGAGTAACTCCCAAGGTTTCTGATCTCATTATATCTGTCTAGAGGAATAGGAGCATTGTAGATTCCTAAAACTGGTTGGATCAGCACATCATATATGCAGTTTATAACATATTTTAGCTGGAAAATACGAAAATAAGGACAAATTTTATATATATATATAGATCTTAAAAATTTTGCGAAATATGACGAATAGAAATTAAATTTTCATCGTGACTCCAACCTACAATGGTACAGTTTGGTGACAATGCAGTACCAGATCTCTTGATTATTATTCTTTTTCTTCTTCTTACAATTATGATAATGTCTTATTGTTCTAATGACAGAGCAAATATGAGTATGATTTTAAAGAATGTGGGCATTGGTTGACCGAAGAAACATCATTCATTCTTTTACAACTTATAACATTTTTACCTTGACTCATAGGGGAATTTTAAGATTCTGAAAAAAACCAAAACATAAAGAAAAAAATTGTTGTTTCTTCTTAATGATTTTTTATGGATGACATTCTTTAAAAATTTAAATGTCACGGGTTAAAAGTTGAATATTCCTCTCCGTTCGGTCTAGTTTTAATTTTTTTTTTTAATGTAATATTTCCTTTAAAAATTATTATTTTTCACTATAATGTTAAAATTATGCTACTTTAGTTATAAAAACACCATTTTATTAATATTTTTATTTTAAACAAAATTTAAAAATGTAAGTGTAGGCCTACACCTGACATAAAATCGAATTTTAAGATGCAACGTGAATTGTCCTTCAGGTATTTTATTGACAACTATCTTAAATTAATGAGCATATAATTATAAATTTTATACAGTTAAATTGCGTATCAGTAATAGAGAATTGCTTAAAATTGAACGAACATTAAATCAGATGTCAACCGTGTCTGCTAAGTCTATTTTCACTACTATAACACAGAGCTAAACACAAAACCAAGTATCTACATCTATTATATATCCCTACAACGTTCTTAGAGTCATCAGCCATGGTTCTTCAACCTTTAATGTCTGTAATTATAGTGGAGTTGTTGAGACAGGGTGGTATAGGACATTGACAAAAATCACTATTTCGGTTAGTATCACCCCAGGGATAAGTAAGTCTAGGGGAAGAGAAAAAAAAAAAAGGAATANGGCACGTTTAGAGCATAAAGACAAAATATAAAATATATATATATAAATATTATTATATTATCATATGTTTTCCCACATTTATCTAGTTTAATCGTTAATAAAATCAAAAAATAACAATGAAAAGATTATTTTATTACATTCCGATTTGTAGAGATAATTGTTTTTACATTTTCTTTTCAGATTATTTAAAATGATATATTATGTATTTTTTTAAAAATTACTTTCTTGTGATTTCATAACGATAGTCTGTAATATGGCCTAAGGGATAGATTCAAGGCCGAAAACACTTTGCAGTAGGCCTGTATCATAATCATATCAAGGCCGAAACGTTTCATTGTGTCATTTCTATCTATTACGGACAGAAATGATATTTTGTAGAGTTTTCTTAAGAAAACAAATAAAAAATATCAATCCATAGATAGAAATGATATATTAATTCATTGTGATCAGTAGACGGAAATGATAAATATATATTGTGACGCGTTTAATTGTCAATTTAGACATACAAAAGTTAATGGTGTTTTATTTCATAACTTTTAAATAAATAGTAAGAATCATTCAAGGTTTTTGTATGGTTAAGATTATTATCTAATCAATACACGTTAATTCCTAACACCGAGTACGAAAGTAACGCATGATTGCGCGTCGCTAAAGACGAATGAGATTCCAATATGGCGGAGAGACGTCGCTAGATAAAGTTTGGTTATTCAAACGAATCATGAATACCAAGATGGAAATAAAAAATGAAATAAATAAAAATAATAATAATAATAAGAGTTATACATTGGACTCACACAGATCTCGAGCAAATCCAAAGGAAAACAAGAACAACGCTTACTAAGCATAAACAACATCATCCTAAATCCGCCACAGAAAGATTAACCCTTCTACGTAAAGAAGGCGGACGTGGCCTGATTGACATAGTTAACCTTCACTACAAACAAATACAGTCACTNTCTAGAAATTTTTTAAAGATAAAATGTTTCCATCTTCAGAATTTCGATTAAAATCTTCAAAAATTTATCGCAAATATCGCAAGTGATATACAAAAATGGTAGGAAATTACACAAGAAAGTTCACTTTCTTGTTATATTAATAACTTGTTTATTTTTTTTTTTTATACGAGTTTTTATTTATGTATAACCGCTACAAATCGATAATTTCAGAATTATAATCCATAACTGACCTATTTTCATGTTGTCAACTATCAAAAACAGCAATTGAGCATACTAGAACTTTAGATAGATGAACAATAGAGAATTTAACGAAAGGACAATTTCTAAAGAATGAATAGATTGAATGAAATTATGTTCCTTCAAGCATTTCAGTCCTAAGATATAGCGGATGTTAAAAGCCTATGGGCTATAAATAGGCTTATAATGTATATTCAACTTGAACCACTTAATCCTTTGTCAAGATTCAATAGTTCGAGTTGAATGAACAGAATTCAAAGAAGATTATTTAAGTTAAGAGAATAAAAGCGAAAAAATTAAAATAAAAATGAATTACGCAACTTCATTATTATATTTTAAAATATAATTTTCTCATAAATGAGAAATTTAATTATGTGAAATAATTTTAATCTGGGAGAAAAGGGGGAGGAAAAAATGTCCCGAATGTTTCAATTAAGCCACCACATAGAAGGACCATTTAGTAGAAACGATTTAGATCTTTTTGTTTAGAATAAGTTCACATCTTCTACGGACAAAGGCAGCCATTTTATCACATATCATTAAACAAGCATAGATTTTTATCTAAGACAAATGGGTGGGTCAATCGAAAAAGCATCCATGGCAATGACTACTTACACCTTCACGGAACGTCACAAAACGAATCATATAGACATCATTTGATCACAAAATTACAGTCAAACTTTGTAAAGTTTGCTTAGGAAAGACATTTTAAAAAACACAAACCCAACATTAAGTCATCTTAGCACATCATTACGTAGATTTTTCTAAGGGGACCCACATAAAACATTAGATAAGTTAAACATTGTAACTCCATTGTTTTCGCTCAGCGATAAAAACATTATTTTACAGATGATAATGTTTAACTTAATTTTACTCAGAAGAATTTCTGACTATATAATTCTTTTACAAAATGTTTTCAAGCGTACAGAAGTTATTCCTTACTCGAATTTTAGTAAAAGAAAATAAAAAAAAAAGGAAAAAAATCACCCTAAATAACTCAGCCAAACATAATTTATTCAGTACATAAAAGAGGCAACTAATTATAATTATTTCTTAAAAGTAATAAACAATACGAGGAAAGAAAAAGAACAATTTATAACTTCATAAACCCACAATTAATCTGATAAAACTTTAAATAAAAATTGAGCTCGACATCGATACTCGTTATTTATCGATAGAAAAAAAAACAAGATAAAAAAAATCAAGAACATTAAAAATAATACCTTAAATACAAGCAGTTCGTTATAAATTGACTATAAATAAATTAAATTTACCAAAAAAAAAGAAAAGAAAAAAAATTATTACACTAAACAAAGAATTGTATAATTAGCCAATCGCTGTGATTGGTAAATTCTTTTTTCTCTTTCATCAATGGTTACTGTGATTGGTCATTGACCCTTGTTTTAATACCTTCAGGTTAATCTTTACCGAAAATGGATTTCGTTTTCGTATCTCGGTTTCTTGTAGTAATTTTATCCATAAAAATCATTCGATCATATTATATATATATATATATATATACATATCATTTTTTAAATTTATTTATTCTTTGTTGAAAGGGTGTGGTTTCTCCTTTAAGTTTCCTCTGCTTTCGTTATTTATAGTCACATATCAGTTAAGTTACAAGAAGAAAAAAATATAACTTATATATATTGCTTAGCTTAACTTTTGCTCTTAATAAAATTGTCAATAAATTTTAAAAATTGTTTATTGGTATGTAAAAAGAATTATGTGATTTAAATAGATTTATATGCATAATTAAAAAAAAAATTTACTTTCTACGGCGCTCGACTTGAAGTAGATTTATGGACTTGAATAATTAAAAAAAAAATTAAAATAAGCTTTAATTATATTAAGAATTTATTTATTTAGAAAAATTAATTATTATTATTTTCATAAAATATGTTTAAATAATTTAATTTTTTAGTTAAGTTTATAACTTTAAAATTATATAAAATCTAAAATTAAAGCTTATAAATCTTGTGTTACTTAACGAATTTTAATTGAAATTATGAATTACTTTCTTAAAAATTCAATAAATAGACTATAGCAAATTTTTTATTAATTTTTTTTTAAGAAAAGATTATTTTGGGCGAGAAATTAAACGACAAAATTGATTTAATTATGATTATGGACTAAATCATAATGAGAAACCGTAAATAAAAATAAAATTGATTAAAATAGCGTATTATATAGGGTGGCCCAAAAGTCAGTTTAACCACGTTTGTGTTGTTTAAATGCACGCTGAAACCTAAATTATAAACTAAATTTAAATAAACATGAAACATGATAATAAAACACGATATTGAGACTTCACAGTGGTTAATTGACTTTCAGGCCACCCCGTATTTAAAATAATTTATCGTAAATTTAATCAAGTATTAATCGATCCGTTAATTTCTTTCGTTTTTATTATATAAAACAACAATTTTATTTAAATCCGCAATAAACTAAATATATTATTAAATTTTATATTTTTAATAACGCAATACAGTCGACCCCCCTATAACACTGTTGATTATTTCGTTTTATATGAATTCCATGTCGTACGAGTCACGTAGATTTTACAAATAAGTGTGCCGGGCTGTGAACGGCTCAGGTATTTGTAAAATCTAAGTGNTTTTAGTTTTGTTTTGGTTGCTATGCCTTGACTTTGGTCCGGCATAGTACACAGCCACCGGTGTGAAATAACCGAGTATAACTCACAAAACCCAAAATAATAATAATAAAGAAACAGAAAAATTTTGATAAATTAATTTTAAAAAATTTATGCGGAAACAGTTGACGCTAGAGGTCGACATGTTTTTAAGATGGTGGTTGATGTTCCACGTGTATTGTAAGGTAGTTTCGTACGCTGATTACTTCTTTGTTCGTGCGTTAGTTTTTCATTAAAGCTTCAAGCTGTCTGGAAACGAAGAAAAAATGGTTTCTAAAATACGTAAAAAACGTGAACAAAATAGACAGTACGCATTAAAGCTTAAAGAGAAGAGAAGATTGTACAATAGTATGTACTATGAAGAACATAAACAAGAAATTAAAGAGCGTGTACAGGCCAGATACAGATTAAACAAACTTAAAGAACTTGCTAAAAGAAATGATCGTAAGCGGTAAGTTTTAAATATTTAATACAGAAATAGACAATAAAACAGATAATAATAAAGTAATTAAAAAATGTGGTTAAAGTCCAGATACGTAGACTGTCATGGCGGTTCATGTCTGATTCCAGCAAACAGTGGGGACGCACGTTCTAACCTAACCTAACCTATTCTAATAAATTACCATAATTATTACCAATCAAATTATTAGAATAGGTTAGGTTAGGTTAGAACGTGCGTCCCCACTGTTTGCTGGAATCAGACATGAGCCGCCATGACAGTCTACGTATCTGGACTTTAACCAAAAATGTGTGTGTACAATAGTTTTACAATGAATAGGTGTACAGAAATTCATTTACAAAACTACTCTCAGATTTTTGTCAATTACAGGAAAAATTTGGTACAGATGTAGCTATGAATGAGATGGTTGGGACCTTAACAGAGCTGTAGACCATGCCATTAGGAGTAAAAATGTTGTGTGTTTAACAAGCAGCCCGAGTAACATATCTATTGAGAGCGATTGTTTCACGGAACATCGAAAAATAATTTTGAAGATCATAAATATATAGCCATTTCCTAAACAATTAGATATGTAANACAAGTTTTCGAACAAAGAAAAGACTTATATTTGTAACCTCCAACTTAAAAAAAAAATCAAACAAACGAAATTTATATTTAGTCTTACAGCCATAAAATTCAAAAGGCATGAAAGAATTTAAATTGATATTTTGCAAGAGCGTTGAAAAGTTTGAATTCCAAATACGTTTTTTAAAGAAAAAATAATAAAAATTAAATTAAAAAAAATATATATATATACATATATTGCTTCATTTATTGTTCTTGGAACTAAAATCAAACTAACTCTATACCATTCATTACTTTGTTTAGTTTCTTTTTTTATCTACGTATATTGTGTGTATACTTTGTTTTAAATATTCTATTCACGAATTTTATCTGTTTTTTTAGATTTTTTCCTATATAAAATTCTTCTATTTTGGTTATTGATTGAACAGTACATTACGTCTGGATACCCTATTAATTTACAAGCAAATAAATATATTTAAATCACACTTCTCTTGTTTTAAGAAGCATCTTGTAAGAATACGAGAAATGTCTTCAATATTTTAAGTTTTTTACAGTAAAATAATTTTTATATTAAAAAAAAAAATTTAACATATTTTACTAATTTATCCACTTCTTTTTGTATAGTTTTATTAGAGATAATAGAGAAAAGGGAGAGTTTTATGAGTAACAATTGATTATGTGACATGCATTAAAAAAAGCATTCGTAGATCTGAAGTTTATAAATGAGTCAATTTAAGAGAAGAAATCTGTATCAGATGTGCAATCTCGAAAGGACATTCTTGCTTAATAATCGATAGTTGTTAAACAATCATTTGTAAGCTGTATCAAGAATGTCGAACAAGTTCTCCAATGCAATAAATAGACTACAATGATTGTTAAGATCATTTGTAGAAAGCCAAGCCGGGTTGCTAGCCTATACGCTCTTTAAGCATGTATATAAATTATTCCGTGCTATATTTTACTTTAGCTCGTAAAACTGTATATAAAAGATAGATTTTATACAGTTATAGACCGTAAATAAGTTCGTNTATATTTCACATAATAATAAAAATATAACTTGACATACGTATTTATAAATAATTTATATTCAAATTACATCATTTCTATGGCCAAGGGCGGCGTAAGGCATGGACGACGTGGGCCACCGCCTATGCCTGGCGGTCCGAAGGGCCTCGCGCCTCGAAGGTTTATGCGTTACTTAAAAGCTGTGAACGCGACGGAAAAATTTTACTCGTCATAAAACGATAAATAGTTTGTCAAATTTTTATTCATAAAAATGCAGTTTCAACTGCTTCTTATTTTATAAAATCCGCCTTCTTGTGCCACCAGAGGGTCTTTTAAACAATAGGTAGTCTGTTAGCGTTAGTTAGTAGTAGTCCAAATGTAATACGAACGTTTGTTTCTTGAAAATTTGATCACAATTTAAATACAGTATTTACTTTTAATATTACCGATATGTCATCGAAAAGAAAACGTGTTGTATTATCATTAAAAGACAAATTAAAGTATTTGTTTTGATTATCCGGATTTTTCCTTATCCGGACTACCTTCATCCCCAATTAGTCCGGATAATCGAGGTTCTACTGTATATAAAAATGGGGAATATCGCGCTTCTGACAATCGCTGCAAGTGTGTGGGCTAAATTTGGAGAATCCGTGCTTCTCGCATGAACAACTATATGTGGCCGGCTCACGCGTCGGAAAACCTTCTGATTTATTCATGCACGCACCAGACAAAAAACAAAAAATATTGTGTATCCATAAACACTCCAATAAATAAATAAATAAATAGAATTGAAACAACACTTTGAAATGTTTTCCCGATGAAAATGAATAAGAATAAGTTTCAATAAAAATGATAAAATGTAAATTGAATTTTATCATAACGAGTTTGCTTGAATTTCCTTTCTTCTGAGATTGCAGCAATGCATGATGGGTAAGTTAGTGAATAATAATAGAGAAATTATATTTTTAATAAAATCTCATAACATTCGGAAAAGTTACACAACTCGTTGCTGGATTGTTTTTATCCTATTGTTATTGCGCACATAATAAATGATAGTGCAAACTTGTTTCTTTGGCTTTTGTCCTCACTGATAACTGGAAACAAAGGCCTTGTTTTGCTTTACTGCAGTTATCTGGTCCCAACTCACCATATTAGAGGGTTATGCCTTTATTAAGTTCTACCCCTGACCTTCTTTGGCATGCTAATCCTAAAGTTTTGCATCACTGTTGTATCTGTATTGCAATTTATAATAATTTTTAAATCAATAGTTGTTTTACAATCAACTCCCGATTTAACGGGGTAACGGAAGGTTCACAGACCATAGTATTTCAAGTTCTAAGATAAGTCCGCAAATTACTTAAAAATATCTGTGCACGCAATAATAGACACTCTACTATGTTTCACTGCGTCATAAGGAAACTAAATAAAATAAGATGCATAGTGCAATATGAAAAATATACCCTATCTCAAGATAAATCACGAAGACTTTACTCATTTAAAAGCTACGTAATATCATTTTAAATGAAAATTATGACTACAGTCAATTAATCATACATTAATTATGTTACACAACTATGAAAATTGTAAAAAGTACATTATATTAAGTTAAAAAAAAATCAAGTCTATTAAATTTAACAACTAGACACGCACTATCGAGAACAATACAACTCTTCTGCACCTGCGTTCCTGCAGTTACCGACCACGGTTAATCCGCCTCCACTAAATCGGGGGTGGCTGTATATACATTAATTAAATAACCAGAAGATTCAAAGTACAGCATATTGTTTAATAAAGTTTAAAAATTATCTATATGTTAATATATTGAATAAATGGAGAAAAAAGATTTTATTATAGTCATGATAGTTTTATCATCTGATATAAAACTGTAGTGTTAAAACTCTATTATCCGTGTGTCGTCAGACTATCAGAATTACTGTAAAACAGCAGTTTCTTAAGCAACATTTAGCTTTTCTTTTCTCAATTCTAAGGAATGGAAGTGACACGAGTCTTTGGACCTGTAATATTATTCTGTAGTAGGCAAAGTTAGTGATATAAACAGCAGATTTGAAAAAAAATCCTACTAGTCCTAAAATTAAAATACAATAATTAATGTAAGAATTATACATAGAAATGAAAAGTTTAAATTTCTACGCGATTATCCGTGTTTTCCTGTTTTCTGTACACTAATTAGCACGGATAATCGGGAGTTGGGTGTAGTGAACTCGAATAAATTGTAGAAATGGACCATTTTGAATTCCGACTTTAGAATTAAATAAAAAATTTTTCAATAAAACACATTTTTCAATGGCAAGAACAATTTTTCAATAACATAACATGCATAAATAATCAACATTTTAAGTTATTCATAATTATTTAATAGTGATTGTTTTTAATGAAGTTCGAGGATAAATTAACAAAAAGCAAAAGAAAATTTCTTTTTATAAAACCGAGGAAATGAGCAAAAAAAGAATTTGAATTGCCATATTTTTCAGTAGAATCTCCTTTCTCGTATTGGTTCACGAGTTTCTAACGTTATTTAAAAGAGACATTTTGGGTTTTTTTATAACCTGTTTTGCATTGGAATTTCTTTTTGATACTCAAGAATAAACTTTGGCTGATTTGCTAGCGATAACAGAAATAACAGTTTGTTTTCTTGCATATTAACTCGATTAATGATGTTTTACTTCTATTGAAATGATCAGAAATAACAAAAATCTCATTTATTTTGCCATTTCTTAGATTTTCTACTCTTCGGCCACTTCTATCCAGAGAGAATTAATCATGGCACGTTGTTCATTAACGGTGTAGCCAGAAGCTGAAGCTGACGTAATAGAGAAATAATGATGGGGAAGAATGAGATAAGTGACTTTAAAGAATGGGAAAATAGTAATAGTGAAACTTTTCAAAACCAGACTGAAGACAGCTAACTTTTAAATTATTTTCAGACACGGATTGTTAATTGTATACACAGATTTATAACCATGATTTATACTAAAACGGAAGATACACCTTGAATTTATTCCCATTTATTATTACAAAATAAAAATAAATGAACAGAATTTTATCATTGTAATGATTATTTAAATAAAAGCTAAACAGCTGGCCGGCACCATGTTTAATACGCAATTGCATCACTGTTCATCCAATCATTGTGAAGCGTATGGTCAGATGGTTATTTAACTTTGTATGAAGTTAAAATGCATTTAATTGTATTATTTGGTATTCTTTTTATAAGTAAAATTAATGATATTTTAAACTCGTAATGTTAATTTAAAAGCGTAAATGATAATTTGCATTATTAAATTGTCAGTTATTTACATACATATATAATAGCCAATCTATTAATAGATTTAAATGGAAGTATTTGTTTTTATTCAAGTATAAATGGCATTTTTTATATACAGTAATTATGTTGTGAGGTAATTGTTGGCATTGAATGGAAAAATAATGATGAGGAAGAATGAGATAAGTGACTTTAAAGAATGGGAAAATAGTAAAAATTACTTGAAAATAAAAAGTACATAAAACAGAGTTTATGTAATTTTCATTTTAAAGAAGCATAAGATTTATACAGAAGGGGAATGGGTTACTTGTATGCTTTATTAGTCTAGAAGAGGCTTTTGATACCTTATAATCCTCTTCTAGACTGAAAAAGCATATAAAAAATGGGAAAGATATATTAATATCTTAAGGTCTAAATGTGTTGATTGGAAAGAAAATTGATTTATAATTTATACAAGCATCAAAGAGCTATGGTATAACAGAAAATTACAGTGAAGAAATAGAATTTAGCACAGGGGTAAGGTATGTCGCCAAAACATTTTATGAATCATTTCTTCTAGTTAGACATTAATGTTTAGTAGAAAAAGGCATCAGAATTAGAGATTAAATTATCCAGTGTTTAATATTTGTGGATGATATAGCTCTGATTATTTAGAATGAAGCAGAAAAATCTAGGAAGATGCTGTGACATTTTCAAGATGAGAATAAATGTGAAGAAAACCAAAATCCTGAAGTGATAATAAAAAGCCAATTTTTCTAAAATTGGCTTTTTATTACCAAACATATTGATTTTAATTCTTCTTTGTGTGGCTTATCACCTTTTGCATCCAAGCCATTCAGTTGTGAACTTCTCTTTTGGAGATTTATCATTAGGATGACAAATAGAAAAAGATTAAGAAGGATAATGGAAATATTAGTAAAAATGAATTACAGTAAAAAATATACATTATATTAAAATATGCTTTTAACAATACATCATATTTTAAATGTATATTAGAATTGAATGCATAAAAGTTCTTATTTTTAAGTTTATCTTTGTTACCATGTGGTATCAGAAAGGGGGACATTGCCTCCAAAATGAGGATGTGTCCCCCTTTCCGGCAAGGCTAGACTGAAAACCCAAGATGATCTAAAGTATTGATGCAATAAATGTATTAAATCTTTCACTGAAAGGTTTCTTTTTTCTAATTAATATTAAAAGCATGTTAACATTCATCCAGAATAGTTTCCAAAATTAATTCTTTTAAAAACTTTTAAATATTAAATAAATATGACAATAATTATTCAAAGTATGAAGTCATTATTACATGAAAATCTAATTCATAATTTTATAAATTAAGTTCTTCATTTTACATTTTTAATTCTTTCTAACTGAATTACTATATATTAATTTCAGGTATTCAAAATATACTGGAAATGAAACTTGTTCTGCTTTGTTCTGCTGCAACAACAGTCGCAAGACTTGTCCAAAAAAATCATTTTTTAGATTTCCAAGAGATAAAATCAGGTAAATGTGATAGATATTAGTAAAAATGAGCCAAGATAAACCTATTACTTACATTATATTTCCATAATAAATAAATATTCTGATGAAAATTATATTTCTGCTTTGAAAATGCTTATAAATGCTTACTGTTATAACTTTTTAACTGTAACTGGATTGTTCAACTAACAAAAATCTTAAAATCCAGCAATCAAACTATTTACTGACACTAACATTTTCAATCTTATTGGAAGACTTACTTTAGGTGCTCGTTACAAACTGTAAAAGACAAATCATATTGTGTCTATCAACTCATTCGCATAAAGGTATTGGCTTTTGCAACATTAGTCAAATGAGCTTTTATACATTAACCCCCTTTGACCCGCCCATTTTTTTAGAATTTTTAATTAAGCATAAAAAATACTTAAAACTGAAAAAAAACGAAAGAAATGCGTTAATTTTGAAGAAAAAGCTTCAAAGTCTAAGTTTTTTTGTCTGTCCTTTCTGCGAAATTATTGTTTACACAGCTGGATGACCTTGAACACAGCTGGAGTCAGATTTCCCGGGACATTCTCATAGACATCGCAGGAGGACAAGGGTTTGAAGTAGGGTGACTTCAATCTGGCGGTATATTTTTAAATATTTTTAAAAAATTATAATTTTTATTGAGATTTCCGACCCCCCCTAATTAATTAAACTTCTATATAATAAAATCTATTAATTAAAAAAATTAAAAAACTATCGGAAGTCGTTTTTGACATCAGAAAGCAGCTTTAAATAACTTTACCGAAGGAAAATCGGTGCGCTACAACTTTAGAATGATAAATTAATTTTGATAAAAAACTCCCATTAAAAAAACATTAAGCCTTCATCGAGCCTTATCAAAGGCTCATTAAAATCGCGATAAAATTTTTTCGCGTGCGCAAAAAATTCTGAAAAAATTTGGGGACCTAAAAAACATTCCAAAAATTCAAAAAAAATAATTTTTTCAAAAGTGGCCTTAACGACGTAAGGCTATAAAACTTGCTCGAGTCACACTCGAGCGCAGCTCAGAAGGGGTTAAGAGAATTATTTTATATCAAGGAAATACAGGGTTTGTCCAAAAAGTAATATCAGTGAGTCGATTTGAAGACATTTATTGATTCGATTGGTACAATACATTAAAAAGTTTCAAAATAGACTCCTTCTGTGTAGATATATTGCTTCCAGCGAGATTTCCAGGCATCAAATATGTCACGGTAGGCCTTTTCCAAAATGTCCTTTAGAGCCTTGGTACAAGCCTCTTTGACTTTGTCAACTGTCCCAAAATGATGTCCTTTCATGGAAGTTTCAAGTGTGGGAACAAGAAGAAGTTGGGGGGAGCCACGTCAGGACTGTAGGGCATCTGGGGAACCATTGGCACCTTTGAATCGGCCAAGAAGTGGGTCTGCAGTGTGGGCTGGTGCGTTGTCATGGTGAAGTTTCCAATCGTCCGTGATGTTGGACCAGACACAATGAATCCTTTGTTTGAGTCTCTTGAGCACTTCCACATAGAATTTGGTGTTGACGGTTACACCATGTGGTACAAAGTCATGGTGAATGAGCCCCCTGATGTCAAAAAATACAATGAGCATTGTCTTGATCTTTGACTTGCTCATTCTGGCCTTCTTGGGGCGAGGGGAATCAGAGGTGTGCCACTTGGTACTTTGCCTTTTTGTTTTGGGGTCGTACTCAAAGACCCAACACTCATCACCTGTGATGACATTGTCTAAAAAGTGGGGGTCACTTTCACACAAGTCTCAAAGTTCCTGACACGTTTCAACTTTGTGTGATTTTTGGTCGTCCATTAACATTTGGGCACCAGCTTTGCGCACACTTTTCTCATCTGCAAATTGTTTGTCACAATCTCATAAATGGTACTTTTTGGAATGTTTAATGTCTGTGCCGTTAAACGAGCATTCAAACGACAGTCTGAGTTCAGTCACGCTCATCACATTTTCATCGGTGGTGGTCGTTGATGGCCTTCCAGTGCAGGCTTCATTGCTGACCTCTTCATTTCCTTCAACAAATGCCTTGTGCCACCAGTAGACTTGGCATTCTGATAAAAAATCATCACCAAAGGCCATCTTTATCATGGGAAAAGTTTCCACTGTGGACTTGCCGAGTTTCACACAAAACTTGATGCAATCCTTTGCTCGATCAAGCGCTACATTGCGGCTTGCACGGGAGACGAAAACAAGATTTACAAAAATGCCTGTCCTTACTCTCCAGATGGTCGGAGGCAATTGAGTGATCATGCATGCGTAACCTGTCTCCTCCTTCCACCGATCCCCACCACTCTGAGCGTGCTGTGGCATGTATTCGCTTCACAGTAAAATCACTGACATTACTTTTCGAACAAACCCTGTATGTTCTTTTATAATTTATCTTGAGCACCCGAAGAAGGTCTTTCAGTAAGACCGAAAACATTAATGTCAGTAAATGGTTTGTGATTGCTAGATTTTAAGGTTTCTGTTATTTTAATCTGTAATACTATTGACTTATTTTTGTGTCTTGTTAATTAGATATTTTACTTTTTTAGCTTTATTGGCCTTATAATTTGTGTATATATTTTTTAAGATGTAGAATGTGGTTAAAAAATTGTAAGAGAAAAGATTTGTTGAAAGTGAAAAGAAAATACCTATACACTGTGCATAGAATCTGTGAAGATCATTTCGAAGAGCGTATGTTCTTAAATAGTTTAAGAAATAGACTTCATCATAATGCCATTCCAACTATTTTTGAAAATACTACCATGGAGAATATGATTGATGATAAAGATGGAATACCTGAAATTAATTCTGAATTAAATCCACTTTCAAATGAAAATTTTTTTTCAAGTAAGTTTAGTGATTATTGTTAATTTGAATGATGTACAGAGTGATTAGAAGTCTGCATACTATTTTAAAATTTAATAAATTTGGATGTACACATGATAGACAGGTTGCTGTGAATGGTATTTATAAGAATTAATTCTTAAAATTTTATCATAATTCTACTGTTTTAATCTTCAGCATAACTGCCATTTTGTGACACATTCTGTAGTTGTTTGTTAGTGATTTCCCAAATTATATTTGTGATTCTGTTCTGAAATTAAATAATCAAGCCTCGGAGTCACTTACTTTTCTCACTTGTACTCACTTTTTTGAAGTATCCTCACTTTTCGCACCTTTCTAACATTTTTGGTCATTTTCACGTGCTTAATTAAGATGTGGGACCAATCAAAAATAATTTTAAAGCCAAATTATCGGACTATTGGACTAGAATTTTCTGGAAGAAAATACTCGGCCCTGAGCGGGACTCAAAACTGCAACTTCCGCTTAGTGTTGTTGGGTTATAAGAAACAAAAATTCCTTTCACGTATGTAAAAAGTCTTTCATACACTTAAAAATATCCGTCTCATTACAAATTCAGAAGCTGATATTGAGTAAAGTTATGTACTCATGCCATATTGTCATTATTAGCCAAAATCTAGTTCTTAAAAGTTGCATATATTCTAGGACCTTGGGCATAACCTCCTACCTGTAGACAAATTATTTCGTTTCTGACCATTTAATTATTCTTGTTATTGCCCAATAATTTAGCAGATCATTTGGTTTTAATTAAAAATTGGGTTATAGAGTTGTTGTTTACAAGAATATTTTTACTTTATTTATCTTTAGCATATTGCTAACGTTTAATCACATCTATATATTCCTAAATGTATGTTTTAAATTGACTACAAGTATAATTATTCCATGTAGTAAGTATTATTTTTATAAAATGTGTGATTACTTTATTTGTGAAATATCCGTTATTTAATCTTTTCTCTTATGCCGATTATAAGTGCATTAATTAAGACTAAAAAAGTAAATGAAAATGTAAATTTATATTTACACCTCGAACCTTTTAATTTATTTGGTAAATTTTAAGTGTTGTAAAAAGTAAAACACATGATTACTTGCGGGAAAAATTTTCACACACTTTCTGAAAGGCTAACAATGTTGTAACGATGTTGCTTTTTATTCGTCTGCAGGAAAAAGTTCCTTGTTTTTTATGAAATCATTAATAAAACGTTATTTTACTTATACTATTTGAAATCTGTTTATTTCAGATTTATTAATTTATTTTGAAATCAATATTTACACGTCTCAAAACATTAAAAAATAAACAGTTTCTGATCATGATAGATGTCTCAAGTGTAGCCAAATTAGTGAAATCAGCATTGACTCTCTCTCGTGGCAATGCTGATGTCGAACTGGAATTTTCAATTTCACACCAGGCACTTCCTCCTGATAGAGCATCAGTGTCGGAAAGAGTGCTTAAACCAGAAGAAAGTGAAATATATGCAACAGGCCAAGTTTTGTTAAAAGCAGCAAACAAAAAAAAACTGGAGAAGGCTCGTTAACAGCAAGGAGTACGGCACACGTAATGCTTGTTAGTCTTTAGTCTTCGAAGTCTTTAGCAAGAGGAACCAAAAAAGAAGGAAGCTGAAAACATCAAACATCAACAGAATGGAAGAACATCATTTTTCATTACTGATTATTTACAGATGCCAAAGACTTTTTAAGTATTCACAGTTTACTGGAAATATAGTAGCTCCTTGTTATATTGCACTTGTCGGGAGACAAAGAAAAAGTGCAATATAACCGAATTCTGGGCTTATCAAATATACTAAACAGATTATACATGCTATGCAATCTCTATCCTCTATTCTTTCATCAGCAAGTGTTTTTGATATAAAATAAGCTTAGTTTTTCAATACTGAACTTGGTTATCTCGTATTAATTGATGTTTACGTAAACATCAATACCACCAACACCCATTTATCATTGCTTCTTTAACAATGACATTTAAAGACATACAAACAAAATATCAGTTACGATTTTATTATACAGTACTATATTTTACAATAAATTGTTTATTAAAAGTTTGTGTGTAATTTATGTTTTTCAATAAAAATTATAAATGAAAATTTTAAAAAATAAATATGGAACATATAATAGAACAATCAAGTTATAAAATTACAGAGTAAAAATTCTGTGAGATCTGTAAGGCCCCTGGGTCTAAATTAATAATTTATTAATTATGTTAAATATTGTCACCAAATATTACTTCATTTTTGGTGAGAAAAATAATGTTTTAACGTGGGAAAAGGCAGATAACAGATGTTACTTCCTTTCACAGAAGTTAGAACATTCTCTGACTTTCCCTTATCTGGTTAAAATCCCGCTCAGATGGGAAATGTTTACCCCTCATTCATTCCCCTTTCATCCGTTCTCATGAAAGAGTTACTGGCCGATGATTGGTCGAAAATCAGCAGTTATAGAGGGAATTTGTCAGAATTTGGCAAGTTCATCGACAGACATAGAGAGTGTCCGAACTCCATACATTTTCCTCCTGATGACCAACGTCCTTAGATGAGTCACATACAGAATAATTCCAGAGTTAGCACTTAGAAAATATACTTGGATTTTGTGCACATATTGATCTCCCATGGAAAGAAGTAAATGAACTTTATCTCCAAAGTGTCCCTTGCCTACAGAGAAGAAGACGAACGACAACTAAAACAGGTTGTATGTTTTATAACGATTTTGTGAGCTCTCTCTCTCGATCGCGCATCGGTATAGTATAAGTCCATGCCTATATCGTATATCTTAATTGTCGTATTTATATCCCTCGTTCCTCGATATTTGTATTAGTTTTACTTATAGAATCATTAAATTTACTTTGTTTGTTTTATATATGATATGGCTCTTAATTTGAATCGTAATAAGATCTCATACGCGTGTTAATCCGCGTATAATAAGATTGATTAACTGGTGTCGGGACCCTGACATTTGGGATAAAGACCTCACAGTCTTGAATCCCCTTTTCCTAAATATTACCGCCCTCCCGGTCAAACGAATCTTGACATAAGATCGGATCTCTCGATCCGAAACACGGAGAACTATTCTCACGGAATAGTGCCGATTAAGTGTTACAAGAGTATACTTACTCCAGAACCCCGGCTGATCTCACAATTCTCTGAAAAGCAAAATAAAGTTACTACTGTATAAAAACTTTCCGTTCAGAATTAAAGAAATCTTTTCCTTACACATTATGCAGTGAATTCAAAATTTCACAGAAACTTGTAAATGAGGAGACGGTACTTAAAACTAATAAATAAACAATATTTGATATCAAAAGGAAACAAATGACAATTGATATGTTCACCTGTTTTGCATATTTAGATCTTGACAAATTTATTGTTTCACCTTCAGTGGTAGTTTCAAGAACAATGGTAGAAGTAAATTACTGTATTTAGTTGCGAATAGAAATTCAATGGCAATTGATAATTTAAAATTTATTGACACGAGTGCTTTTAAAATTTGGAGGACCAAAAGAGTGCGATATATCTGAATCTGTGATATAACGAGTGGCTACTTACAGTATTACAGTATATACAGAAATTTTTAAAATGTATTTAATCATAACAGAATTTAAAAAAAACTTTTTTTACTGCTATTTTGCTTCCATGTTTTCACTTTGTTTTGTCGCTATTGCACTCATTTTTTACTCGCTATTTCTGTATTTCAACTCACTTTTTCAGAGGGAAAATGGCACTCAGGCCTGCATAATTTTAATGAGTCTAATGGGATCAGAACAAGTGAGTGATGTGACTAAGCAGTTTGCAGCTGTAACGATATATTTTTCTGGGAAGATGTCATTCAAAGTCATTGGATATTCAAAACATAGTGGCAAATGCACTATCTAGCTGAAAGATAATGCTCACTAAGAGATTTAAACATTGCATTTCAAGGATGATGATAATTTTTTAACATTGCAAAGGTAGCATTTGGTATTTGGCAGTTGCTTCTTCAAAAAGAAAAAAAAAGCATTTTAGCATAAACATCCAAAGTTGTTAAAAGTTTAAAATTGCCCATGGACTTTAATCACTCTGTATATTATATTTCATAAAAAATATTTGTATGTATTAAACTATTCTAACATTATTTTACAATAATATATTTCTGTTTATTAGCTAGTGAAGATGAGAAACCAAGTATTAAAGAAGAAGAAATTATAAAAAGTACTGTGAAAAATAATAAATTTGAATACGATGAAGATAAATTAATTTTTGTAGAAGGTATAAATAATTTTATATAAAAAAAATATACTTTAAAGTTATGCGTAAGTTGTTATATATTTATGAAAATACTTATAGTTATTTCAAATTTTTACAACTATTTAAATCTATTTATTTTATTCGTATAGAATAAAATGGTCGAAATTTACTTCAGTTTCTTTATATTGCCAAACACAGTGGACCTTCGTTATGGCGCTGCTTGCTATACTGCACACTCGGTTATAGCGCGGGCGATAAGCTCAAATAAAGCTTTATACTTATTGTGTCGCCACTGCACCGCTTGGTATAACGCGGTTCACCTTATAACGCGGGTGTTGTTTCCCACCCGACATGTGCATTATATCGGGGGTCCACTGTAATAAGATCCAATATTTAAATTCTTCTGTCGATTTTTATTGAATCTAGTATTATTGAGAAAATAAAGTTATTTTTTATAATTATGCATTTTTAAGATGAATCACTAATAAGAATGTTTTTATCATCACCATTTTTATGTGCAGTATTTTTAAATTCATTATTATAAACAAATAATATTTTTCTTTTTGGAAATTTTTAAAAGAAATTTGATCTCTATAAAGATGTCTGCCTCTTCTAATCTAATATTTCGTAAATAATAAATATAAATGCTTAAATATTTATCAGTTTTATTTATTACATAATTCCAAATTTTCTAAGTTTATGTATTAAAATTTTTTTTATAGATAATGAAGATACGGAAGGATTTGTGGAGAAAAAATGGTGTGCTGCAGTCAATTGTGAACACGAAGTCACAGCGCAACCAGAAGGAATATATTTTTTTAAATTTCCAAATAATTTTGAATTGTAAGTTCTTAGAAAATAGAAAAAGTGTGTGATTTATTCATTTTTATTAGTAGATAATCAGAAGTTAATAAAAATGATCATTTCAACTTCTAAGCGGGAAGTGAAATACAGTCGACTCCCCTATAACACTGTTGATAATTCCGTTTTATATGAATTCCATGTTGTACGAATCACTTAGATTTTACAAATACGTGTGCTGGGCTGTGAATGGCTCACATATTTGTAAAATCTAAGTGACTCGTACAACATGGAATTCATATAAAACGGAATTATCAACAGTGTTATAGGGGGGTCGACTTGTAATAGTTTTAAGTAGATGGCACTTGTAGGAAATGTCGCACAATGCATGAAACTATACAACACACCATATCAGATTGCCAGCTTTTAACACAAATTACTTACAACAACATGACCAAATAGAAAATCTAATATGTCAAAAGCTTCCACACAAATTACTACACACTTATGAATCATACTACAAATACATACTGTACTTCAGATGGTCTTAGAAAACAACACATGTATAATATACTATGGCCAAACTATAATCACATAGAAGATATTATAATCATTGACAAAAAAAAAAACATACATTGTAGACATAACTGTTTATTACTCACAACATACAAAATACATAAGCTGAAAAAATTAGTAAATACTCAGAACTTTGGGCACGTTCTGAGCATTCACTTGCAAAATAAAGTGCCTTTGAAGAATGGATAAGGTACTAATTGTACGATACCTATAGTCCTTTCTTGCACAGGTGTCATATCACATACACTACAAGAAAATTTGTAAACATTAGGCCTTAACAACAGCACAAATACATTACAAAAAGCTGTCATATGTTTCCACATGTTATATAGTCTGAACTCTTAAACACAGATACATATATGAAAGCACATAATTACAATAACAGTTTTGATTCAGCATGGTACTAGGGTTACTTGTCACTTAGCACTTCAGATACAATTCACTCATAATAATTTTATTACTGATAATCCTGTTATTGTCGTCGTACTTAGCTATTCACTTCTAATCATATTAATGTTGAAATAAGCTATTTGTATCAATCTTTGGAATATAGTGTATAGTAGATTGAGCTGTGGCATTAATATTGCAAATTGCAATTGCATATTTGATAAACATCATTGTTAAAACAATTAAAAAATGTATAACTTTAAAATATTTATTTATAATAATTATTAATGCTATTAGTGATGTTTTGGGACTTGCTAATTGTGATAATATTAAATGACTGATAAAAATATCACAGTTACAGTAAGTGGATTCTATTGTATTGAGTAAAATTAGTAATTATTGTTTAAAGCTAAACTATAATTAATGTCTTGTTCTAAAAATTCAGAATGAAATATGAATACTTATACTATACTATACTATACTATACAGTAGACCCCTTATAACACAGGTTCATATAAGATGAATTCGTATAACACGCTAAAAGAGGCTCTTATAACACAATAAAAGATTGAGCCAGATTGTCATGGTCAACTCGTGTCTCGATAGGACCTGGACCGATAGTGGACATTGCAAAAACCATTGAGTTTAAACGAGCAGCGTACCTACTAAAAAACATTTATTTTTCAATGGCCATAAAAATTATATTTCTAAACATCTCCAAACCCGATATCCAATATAGTAACACACCAACTGAATGCCGAAAATCAATCGGGCTATTTTAATGCTAATTACTAAATAAATTACGTAATCAATTTGGCACTAGAGGTAAGCGTTAGGCACCATCTCTTATTAATATTAATAAGAGATGGTGTAACGCTTACCTCTAGTGCCAAATTGATTACGTAATTTATTTAGTAATTAGCATTAAAATAGCCTGATTGATTTTCGACATTCGGTTGGTGTGTTACTAATTATATTTCTATTAATGATGTCTCCAAACTTCAGTGAATTTTTCGCAGAAAGAATAACTTATCAGGAAACATGTCTGCTGTCCAAATAGCTGCTCTGTGATGAAAACAAGCTTAAGCAATGGCGTCTTTGAACAATGCACACTCAGTAAGTATTCCTACAATTTTTTGTTTATAGCATATTTTATATGGATTATTCCCAAAAAATTATACATGCTTTGGAAATGTTCAAGTCAGATTAGTCTAGAATTGATTAATTTTATGGAAGAAAACCTTTCAAACAGCCGTACCCCCTAAACTGCACAGGTGCCGGGCTGTGAACGTCTCATTTGTTTATAAAATCTAAGTGACATTGATATAACACGGAACGTATCTACTGTGTTATAGGGGGGTCTACTGTAGTAAATGTTGAATAATTATTATAGCATAAGATTTCTTCATTTTAGTTAAAATATACAAGCTTTTTATTTAGAAAGTTTAAAAATAGAAAAAAAAAAATATTTTATAGCTTGTATAAAAAATACGTAACAAAAATTTGTTTGCAGGTGTAAAAAGTGGGCAACGCATTGCCGTCGAACAGATCTGATGAACATAAATCCCGAGTACCTACATAACAACTTTGTTTTGTGTTCAAGCCATTTCGATTCTACTGAATTCGTTAATGATGATGGAAAAGCTCTAAAAACTGATGCTGTACCTAAAATTGAAAGTTTAGTACCATTATATAGTCAGTTATAACATGGCTTCTGTGAAAAAAAATTTTTAATTTTCAAGGTAACAAATATTTTGATCTTTTGGAAATGAATTTAATTAATATTAATTAATTAATACTTCTTATTTAAATTACATATAACTCGCTGAAAAAATTTTTCTTTATGCATTAAAACATATTACTTACTTTAAAAAAGTAATGAATTGATCTTGGAAGATGTTCTTATAAACTATTCTTCTGTTTACCTATTATGAATGTATGAATTTTATAAAGATTTGAAGCATCATCTGAGGATATATTGAACACATATCTAATGAATCAAAACATAATAATTGAAATTTTGAGAGTTGTACAGTACAGTGGATAAGATAGACAGATAATAGTAACAATAATAATAGGTGGATGTTTGATGGAACTTTCAGAAAATTAATTAAGAATAAAATAAAAAAGTTTTCATTTTTCGTTTGTTTTTCTTTTTCCTGTGCTGCGGCCCTAGAATCTGCTGTGTGCTATTAAAAATAGCTTCATATGTCATATTTTGCATGCCAACTCTTGCTTTAAAGACATAAAGTCAACTTAAAAGACATTCAGCTTTAGAGAATTACATGTACAGTAGAACCTCTATTATCCGGACTAATTGGGGATGAAGGTAGTCCGGATAAGGAAAAATCCGGATAATCGAAAAAATACTTTAATTTGTCTTTTAATGATAATACAATACGTTTTCTTTTCGATGACATATCGGTAATATTAAAAGTAAATACTGTATTTAAATCGTGATCAGATTTTCAAGAAACAAACGTTCGTATTGAATTTGTACTACTACTGACCAACGCTAACAGACTACCTATTGTTTAAAAGGCCCTCTGGCGGCTCAAGAATAAGGATTTTATAAAATAAAAAGCAGTTGAAACTGCATTTTTATGAATAAAAATTTGACAAACTATCATTTTATGACGAGTAAAATATTTTCGTCGCGTTCGCGGCTTTTAAGTAATGCATAAACCTTCGAAACGCGAGGCCCTTCGGACCGCGAGGCATAGGCGGTGGCCCACGTCGTCCATGCCTTACGCCGCCCTTGGTCATAGAAATGATTTAATTTGAATATAAATTATTTATAAATACGTTTGTCAAGTTATATTTTTATTACGACGTAAAATATATTTAAGAGTTTACGACCACTGTGCTGGGTGAGACGTTGTTGAAACAAAAAAAGTTATGCATTCCATCATGTACATAAACAGTGTCGTAATTCGCCAAGTGCAAATCAGCAAATTCGTAAAATTTTTGTTTATTTTGGACAATCCGGATAATCGAAAATCCGGATAATGGAGGTCCGGATAATGGAGGTTCTACTGTATAAACATCTCAATGTCCAATGCTATTAATCAATACCAAATGATTGCTGTAATGAATTGGGTTTAGGGTTTCTCAAACGGGGTCCCGGTTATTTTTTTAACCCGGGAAATCCCGCAAATTTCGTAAAAATTCACTTTTTTCTTATTTTGTGTTAAGGTTTAGGAAATTTTGCAAATAAAAAGTATATAATTAACTCATAAACTATCAGAATACATTTTTATTTACTAATCTTAAACCTACTTATTAGTTTTTTAAATTTTTGCTCATTATGGCATGTCATAAATGGTCAATAATCAATAGATAGCTTATTTGTGGCTGGACTCTGAAAATTCTTTACTTGTCAGAATTTGTAATATCTGGAATAATTGTGCTTATGCTGTATTAATTTTTAACCATGCAGTAGCTTCAATAACTGTGTAACGCCAGGTTGTGCAAATTGGGCAAGGATACAAACAAGTACAAAGTCTGTAGGTATGAAGTTTTTCTTCATAAACACGATTATTAAAGACAAACGAACTGCCGAATTATCAGGCTATAAGCTTGGTGTTTCTATTAAAGCAGCCGAGGTAAAATCAAGAATACTGAGAGCAAAAGAAGTACTACAATTTCGAAAATGAACTAGAAATCTTCCAGACTACGGGTAAAAAACACATAATATCTGTCTTCTCTTAAATGCATTAAACACAATTCCACTCGCATCAATTGAATCGGAAAGGGTATTCTGGGTAGTAGGACTTTTCATTATTAAAATAAGAACCAGATTGAGTGATTGGTATTGACCATCTTTTTAAAATCTTTATAAAAATTTACAATAATATTTTGTATTATAATACCTTCTAAGTTAGAAGTTTGATCTAAGTTCATTTTTTTTAAATTTTCAACTCAATTCAAAGCATTTTTTTGTTGTTGTATGTAGTTTCCAGCAAACTTTATGAAATTTTTTATATCTGTGAAAATTTCCACATAATTCAAAAGTAATTTTTAATATATATCTTACACAGCATTATTAATATGATTTTGGAGGTTGCAAAACGTATTACATTACTTTAAAAAATGAAAAATAAATATATCATTTGATTTCAAGATATTTTGCATATCTTAAAAATAATTAATTCTATCCCGGAATTTCCCAGGATCCCGGGACAAGCAAAAGACCGGAAAATGAGAAACCCTAATTGGGTTATTTTTCCACTACATAGATTCATTACAACAGTTGTTTAGCTTTGATTTAGAGAAATAGCTTGGAAATTGCTTAGAGCTTGAAAGTTTATTTACATCAAGTGAAAACATCTTCGGAAAGATCAAGTAAACTAAAAGCAGATTATAGAAGCAAACTAGATACTAGATTTACTTATTTAAAACAAATTAAATATAAATTGTTAAATAAATTATATAAGTAAATTTAAAATAAAAATATTCTAAACAAAATATTAAAATTATAAACTTTTATAAAACCATTTCCAAGTTGTTCGTAGTACACGTTTTATCTGATGATTAACCAGAAATGTATATGCATCTTGTTTCTGTCAATTTTTTTTTATAATTTCAATTTACTTGAAGAAAGAAATAGAATAAAAATTGGTTTATTGATAAAACTAAATTTAAAACCAGACATTTATTATAACTATAACTTAAATTTTTGAACATTTTTCCACTTATTTTTAAATTAACTAAAATTTTTTCTAGACTGCTCTTTAATTTACGATGATATAATGATTATTATTCTTTGTACAAATCAGTTACTCTCAATTGTTTACCCATTTTCTATGCTGTAAACAAATATGGCAAACCTATACTAAAAGAACAAAAATTAATAATCACATTTGAATGCTTGCTAGATCAGTATCTAAATGACAAACAGTAAAGTTCTCCTGGTTCAATTCTGTCATGTATTGTGTGATTTCTGTATAATTTCAAGTCAAATAACAAAAATTGCCTGGAAATTGCATAGTGTGAATCTAGTTTTAGTCTCTATCAAAATCATTTTAGTTTTTAAAATGAAAGATTTCTTTGGTCGTAGAAATCTCCATTTTTATTTTATTAAAACGGTTCTTTATTTTTTCTAAAGAGTAGAAAATGATAGAAAGGTGTCATCAAAACATCAGTTATCTGAATTCTTAAAGATGAGAGCAAACTTACAAATTTCATTAGAACAATTTAGGTCAGTTATTCTTATCTTGTTTCTGTTCTTTTGCTGGTAATGAGCATTAATATTAAATTTTTTTAATGTTTAAAATGTGCATTTCAATGATTATGATGCAGCATTAAAACAATTAGTTAATCTTTTTGCAGAATAGCACAGAAGTAGAGCTGCTGGACATGTTAGAAAAACAATAGAAAAACGCCACAGAATTTATTAAGTTTTGTTAAGTTTAATAAATTGATTTATTTAAAATTTTTCCTCCATAAAAATTTCTTGAAATTTGATTCCAAGCTCATAAGTGTGAACCTTAGTCAATGGCAACTTAAAATTGAGAAAATACAATATATAGTAATACAGGAAATCCTCGTTGGTTCGAAATTCAAGGGACGAAATATCAAGTTTCGAATTATCCGAGATTTACATATTTCTGTACAATATGCCAAATGCCATGTGACTGATGTAATTTATTAAGCAAACAGAATAGAATATAGCTATGAATACAGAACACTATTTTCATTAATTAATAATAATAATAATGTAAATAAACTGCAGGTAGACAGCATTTGTCTGGTGAGATCCTCGCATGTTGCAGGTTGCTAGATACTTTTATTAAAAATAAAGGAAAATTCCTCAAAATGTAGCCCAAATTATTTTTAAAGTGTCCCAAAAAGTAGTAAGTCTCCCAAATGTAGTAGCCTAGAATCCTACAAATATCTCAATTTGCTACTTACTTACAGCCCAATCTTTCAATCCCAAAAACCAGATGTATTTTATGAGAGAAAAAGGGGTTCTTGTGTAAGATGACACCCAAAAATGTGTTAATGTAAAAGCAAAGTCATATTGATCTTATTAGAGTTCTTGATCTGTTGTTCTCATATAGCATGGAAACACTTTGATCTAAATGAATGAGTTAACATACAGCTCAGACAGAATTTTCGCTTCGAATTTTGAAGTAGCCTTATTTCAAACTAACCAAATTCCTTAATATACAAAGCTCAATATCCCCAACTGGGACAAAAGTACAGTTATGAAGTAACAGGATTTCAAATTATCAGAGTTTGAATTAGTGAGGATTTACTCTATTACTTAAAATTTAATATAAAAATTGTACATTTTTATTGCAGAAAATACCAGTAATTGAAATTATTGACTTTTAAATTAAGCATTAATATTAAAATTTTTAAATTGACTATTATATTATTATTAACACGTTAAAAATTATTTTCCAGGAAATGAGGAACACGCATGAATTTATCATCAGAAAGTGGCCACATAAATCAAGATTAAGAATCACATTTATAATTTACAAACAAAAATAATCAGAAAATTTGTGAAAAAAATTTAATAAAACACATGAATACAAAATAATTTTCTTATTTCAACTCTCGTTTTTATTGATTCTGTCATAGCAATACCATATGAATTTGCTCAGTAGATGTAACATGTAGTTACTACAATTAATTTAATTAATGCTATTTAAACTAGAGTCTGTAGCAAATTCCCTAAAGATCTTTTGAATATAGATGTATAAACATAACTCTGAACAATTGAGTGTAGCAATTCTGTTACTACTACTATATTCTTCCATTCCAATTAATTTTATCATACTTATCCACAAATCCTTTTGTGCATGTCATCTGATTCATATAGACCAGTGTTTTTCAACCTTCTTGAATAAGCGACCCCTTTACAAGTTAAAAAAATCCTGGCAACCCCCAAGGCCATATTAAAATTATGTCAGTGATTTTAAAAACTATTTAATTTTCTTTCTGTTTAGACCTAAATATCGATCAAAAAACCAATTGTACTGTAAAATAAACAGGCACAGCCTTCTCACTGAGATTGCAGGTTTTTTTATTATAGTGTAGGACCTACAAACACCTGCCTTTTTCTTTTACCCGCAACCTGCCGTGTAAGGCTTTGCGACCGCCCTGGGGGTCGCGACCCACAGGTTGAAAAACACTGATATAGACCATGTACTGGTACTGTACATATGATATTGTGGCTTTCTTGGCCATTTGCTAATATATATTAATTTCAATGGTAAATTTGATTTATAGTGTAAGAAATCTTAAGTGTTTTTAAAGTCTAGAAAAGTAGTGTTATTTTCCATTGAACCTGACATATCNCTTAAAAATAATTAATTCTATCCCGGAATTTCCCAGGATCCCGGGACAAGCAAAAGACCGGAAAATGAGAAACCCTAATTGGGTTATTTTTCCACTACATAGATTCATTACAACAGTTGTTTAGCTTTGATTTAGAGAAATAGCTTGGAAATTGCTTAGAGCTTGAAAGTTTATTTACATCAAGTGAAAACATCTTCGGAAAGATCAAGTAAACTAAAAGCAGATTATAGAAGCAAACTAGATACTAGATTTACTTATTTAAAACAAATTAAATATAAATTGTTAAATAAATTATATAAGTAAATTTAAAATAAAAATATTCTAAACAAANTATCCGAACAACCTCAGTCCCCAATTGATTCGGATAAACGACGCTCTACTGTAAAAGTTTATCTATGCAATATTGATTATAAGTTTTATGTAACTATAACTTAAATTTTTGAACATTTTTCCACTTATTTTTAAATTAACTAAAATTTTTTCTAGACTGCTCTTTAATTTACGATGATATAATGATTATTATTCTTTGTACAAATCAGTTACTCTCAATTGTTTACCCATTTTCTATGCTGTAAACAAATATGGCAAACCTATACTAAAAGAACAAAAATTAATAATCACATTTGAATGCTTGCTAGATCAGTATCTAAATGACAAACAGTAAAGTTCTCCTGGTTCAATTCTGTCATGTATTGTGTGATTTCTGTATAATTTCAAGTCAAATAACAAAAATTGCCTGGAAATTGCATAGTGTGAATCTAGTTTTAGTCTCTATCAAAATCATTTTAGTTTTTAAAATGAAAGATTTCTTTGGTCGTAGAAATCTCCATTTTTATTTTATTAAAACGGTTCTTTATTTTTTCTAAAGAGTAGAAAATGATAGAAAGGTGTCATCAAAACATCAGTTATCTGAATTCTTAAAAATGAGAGCAAACTTACAAATTTCATTAGAACAATTTAGGTCAGTTATTCTTATCTTGTTTCTGTTCTTTTGCTGGTAATGAGCATTAATATTAAATTTTTTTAATGTTTAAAATGTGCATTTCAATGATTATGATGCAGCATTAAAACAATTAGTTAATCTTTTTGCAGAATAGCACAGAAGTAGAGCTGCTGGACATGTTAGAAAAACAATAGAAAAACGCCACAGAATTTATTAAGTTTTGTTAAGTTTAATAAATTGATTTATTTAAAATTTTTCCTCCATAAAAATTTCTTGAAATTTGATTCCAAGCTCATAAGTGTGAACCTTAGTCAATGGCAACTTAAAATTGAGAAAATACAATATATAGTAATACAGGAAATCCTCGTTGGTTCGAAATTCAAGGGACGAAATATCAAGTTTCGAATTATCCGAGATTTACATATTTCTGTACAATATGCCAAATGCCATGTGACTGATGTAATTTATTAAGCAAACAGAATAGAATATAGCTATGAATACAGAACACTATTTTCATTAATTAATAATAATAATAATGTAAATAAACTGCAGGTAGACAGCATTTGTCTGGTGAGATCCTCGCATGTTGCAGGTTGCTAGATACTTTTATTAAAAATAAAGGAAAATTCCTCAAAATGTAGCCCAAATTATTTTTAAAGTGTCCCAAAAAGTAGTAAGTCTCCCAAATGTAGTAGCCTAGAATCCTACAAATATCTCAATTTGCTACTTACTTACAGCCCAATCTTTCAATCCCAAAAACCAGATGTATTTTATGAGAGAAAAAGGGGTTCTTGTGTAAGATGACACCCAAAAATGTGTTAATGTAAAAGCAAAGTCATATTGATCTTATTAGAGTTCTTGATCTGTTGTTCTCATATAGCATGGAAACACTTTGATCTAAATGAATGAGTTAACATACAGCTCAGACAGAATTTTTGCTTCGAATTTTGAAGTAGCCTTATTTCAAACTAACCAAATTCCTTAATATACAAAGCTCAATATCCCCAACTGGGACAAAAGTACAGTTATGAAGTAACAGGATTTCAAATTATCAGAGTTTGAATTAGTGAGGATTTACTCTATTACTTAAAATTTAATATAAAAATTGTACATTTTTATTGCAGAAAATACCAGTAATTGAAATTATTGACTTTTAAATTAAGCATTAATATTAAAATTTTTAAATTGACTATTATATTATTATTAACACGTTAAAAATTATTTTCCAGGAAATGAGGAACACGCATGAATTTATCATCAGAAAGTGGCCACATAAATCAAGATTAAGAATCACATTTATAATTTACAAACAAAAATAATCAGAAAATTTGTGAAAAAAATTTAATAAAACACATGAATACAAAATAATTTTCTTATTTCAACTCTCGTTTTTATTGATTCTGTCATAGCAATACCATATGAATTTGCTCAGTAGATGTAACATGTAGTTACTACAATTAATTTAATTAATGCTATTTAAACTAGAGTCTGTAGCAAATTCCCTAAAGATCTTTTGAATATAGATGTATAAACATAACTCTGAACAATTGAGTGTAGCAATTCTGTTACTACTACTATATTCTTCCATTCCAATTAATTTTATCATACTTATCCACAAATCCTTTTGTGCATGTCATCTGATTCATATAGACCAGTGTTTTTCAACCTTCTTGAATAAGCGACCCCTTTACAAGTTAAAAAAATCCTGGCAACCCCCAAGGCCATATTAAAATTATGTCAGTGATTTTAAAAACTATTTAATTTTCTTTCTGTTTAGACCTAAATATCGATCAAAAAACCAATTGTACTGTAAAATAAACAGGCACAGCCTTCTCACTGAGATTGCAGGTTTTTTTATTATAGTGTAGGACCTACAAACACCTGCCTTTTTCTTTTACCCGCAACCTGCCGTGTAAGGCTTTGCGACCGCCCTGGGGGTCGCGACCCACAGGTTGAAAAACACTGATATAGACCATGTACTGGTACTGTACATATGATATTGTGGCTTTCTTGGCCATTTGCTAATATATATTAATTTCAATGGTAAATTTGATTTATAGTGTAAGAAATCTTAAGTGTTTTTAAAGTCTAGAAAAGTAGTGTTATTTTCCATTGAACCTGACATATCAGAAAAAGCCTGGAACTAAATATCAAAAAAGTCACTTTTACTTCCCTGGCTGTTGTAGAATATAAGGAAAGTATGGTGATCAGTCAAATTTTGACCACCCCTTTTTTTGCATTTCCATCCCAAAAATGTAAAAAAATTCTTACAAAATTGCATTTGTTTGTTTTGCATTATATATTAGGACAGGATGAACAAAAATTCCGTAACTTGGCAGTGTTATTTCTAGCTTATATATAGGGAGATAGATGATATTAAATTTTGAAGATTAAAGATCAAGAGAGGGATCAGACAACGCAACAACAAATAAAATTTTCATTAACAAGTTTTTAAAAATCTCACTTCTACCCCCAAAATAAGGCTTTTTGCCTTTAATAACTAATATTACGAGATTTTTATTAAAAAAATTTATAACAGATGACATCGCGCACTATTTTTTAAACTTAAATATACTTTGTGCAACTAAATAAAATTAATGACGAGATTTGCCTTGCGTCCAAGTGAATACACTATATAGTTGGTTAGTAATCGTATATAGTTGCCAGTAATCGTTGTGCAGTATACACTATATACTGCACAACGATTACTGGCATGGTTTCATAAGTACTAAATTAAATATACTTTCTTGAAAAATAGAGAAATTTATCATAATTCAACAAAATTTGCACCTTTTATTATTATTTAAGTTTTATATCGTAGTATAATTGAAAATTATCGACTCTTTCCTTGCCTCCTGTTTGAGTGTGATTGGCAGGGACTCTTTGCATGACTTTACTAAGTTGAATGTTTTACTTTCACTGAAGTTTCTCAGGGATGAAATTTTCATCATGTATATCCAAATCTGTAAAAACAAATCAATAGTATTTTGCAAATTATGCTAGGTATGATATTCAATATACATTCCTCAAAAGTGAAATTGCAACACCATGAAGGAATGCATATAACCATATGCACATTGCAGGATTGGTAGAGGTGACAGAGATATGCAACAGATACCTGTTTATTCAGTAATGAATATGGCCCCCCACAAGCAGCTATACAGGCTCTATACAGGAAGACATACATGAGGCGATTAACGATTGCCTGAGGTATCCCTTGTCAATCTGTTCACTGCAGTATTCATGTCGTCTATGGCAGTGTTCTGCAACTTTTTCTACTTGCAGCACACCAATGAATTGACATGAACACGGCACATCAAAATGTTATTCCCCTCAAAAACGTATGATATGATACTATTAATAGAATTACGTAATGCCACTAACCTATTATTATTATATAAAACTTGAAATTAATAGAATATGTAAAAGTTCATGTCACACCTTGTGACGGCACAACAGTTGCAGAACACTGGTCTATGGTATGTGGTCCCTGTTGTACCTCATGTTAGACAAGGTCCCAAGGGTGTGTGATGGGATAGAGATAAGGCGAGGCTGCCGGCCAGGGAAGGATGTGAATTTTGTTCAGGCTGATGAGTTTGCCATGAGACTTGCAGTCAAGCATTGTCTTGCTGGAACATTGTGTTGGGTGTGCCCTGCATCAAATGGCCAAATCACAGTTTCCACAATTCATGCAATGTACCAGTCTGTTATCAGTGTACCAGAAATGTGCACTAGGGCTGTTCACTAATCAAACATGATGCCTTCCCAAACCATAATGTCCAGTGTGAGGCTTGAAGAAAAGAGTTGGCACATAGCTTTACCCGGAATACTGCCACACCCATTCCCTGCCATAATTCCTCCACAGACAGAAGCGGGGTTCATCTGTAAACAATATCAGATGCCGTTCAGTGATCCAGTTGTGATGATGACATCATACCAGCTTGCAGCCATGTTGAGCAGTTAATGGCATGGTTGCTGGTTACCATGCATTCAGCCCAACTTCATGCAACCTGTTGGAAATGATTTGGGTGGACACAAATGCACCTGTTGATGGTGATTTTATATCCCAAAATTGGGCACCATATAACCCGATGTGTATGCAAACGTAATCATTTGCATGTGGCTACATGCATTCCTTCGTGGTGTTGCAATTTTACTTTTTGAGGAGTGTGCGTACAATAATTTATATATACAATATATTGAACACTATGCCTAGCATAATTTATAAAATATTACTGATCTTTGTTTTTACAGACTTAGATGGCCCTAAAATAAAATCATGCAACATCTGAATTTTTATATTACATCATCTTTCTCATTAATTTTACTGTAACGTAGGAAATTTCTTCCTATTTATCTTAGAAAGATGTCAACTGCAAAATAAATTTTTAAGCCGATCACTATCAATTAACTTTACCATATATCATGTAAGTATTTTCACAGAATGATTTGAAAATATATTTTACAACACTTTAAGATATATATTGTTTTATGTACTGTATATACTGTTTATATTTTCCATAAATTTCAGTAGAAAGGTTTTTTGTTTTTATTTGTTTATTTTTGTTTATTATAATTAATTGAAAAGTAATTAGAATAATAGATTTTGTATAAGTATGGGACTGTCCATAAATTACCTAACACAGATATGGGTGGCTATGCAGGTAATCGTTACATGGGAGGAATGTATTGAAAAGTATCAAAGTAGTAGGCTATTAGGTAATTTAAGGACGATCCCTAGGATTTAATTTTCAAAAATTTGAGATCTTATATATAATGTTTCAGTTGTATTTTTGCATCTGACTTATTAAATAATTTTATTAAGACCGTAATGTGTGTGTGTGTGTGTATGTGTGATTTCCGAAATAAAAATTATAGAGAAATATTAAAATTTATTTTTGTTGAAAGATATTTACATTAAAAATTCATTAAGGTAAATTGTTTGTTTAGTTATGGCAATGCAACACTTGGGCGATCTGCCTAGGGGGATGACTTCCGGGAGGTCTTTTTAAGGGAAACTGGCCTCTATTTAGGCGTTAAAGACGTGAAGAAAACCCGGAAAACTCCACGTGGCCAGCCCGTCCGAGCGAGGCGCGAACCCACGACCGAACTCCCAGTGTTCAGGGTACGAAGACCGCTTGGCCACTGGTGTGCTCGGGGTACACACGACCGAACTCCCAGTGTTCAGGGTACAAAGACCACTTGGCCACTGGTGGGCTTTGTTAAGGTAAAAGTTTTAAAAGCCATACATAGTCAAACCTCGATATAGCAGCTCCTAATTTGTTTCATTATTGTAAATCACCAGAAAATACTTGTTCATCCCTGTGTGTACAGGTATATACTTATGACCTTTAATTAAATAAATAGAGAATAGTCACATTCGATTGGTCGGTGGTCGAATTTAAATTTAGCTGATATTCTTGAGAGCATTCCATTTAAAATACAGTATTAGAAACCAGAAAATTTCATTCTAGAAGTTTAAACCCGAGGAAGATCATGGAAGGTTTTTTGACCTATGATCTTTCTCGAAGTGAAGTGAAGTGAAATATACACCGTTCTAGGTTTGAAGGTGTTATATTTGTTTACATTCTCTAAATAACTGGACTATAATTTCATATTCTTGACTACAACACTACGAAAGGAAAAGTCGATATATTGGATCACGTTATTGGACCATATTGAACTAATCATTGGCCAATCATTAGTTTCTACTTGACACTAGTGCTAACAATGATTTCGTGCTATGGACGAAAATATTTTATATGGAAAAAGGATATATTTAGAAGATCTGGGCAAATCTTTGCTAATTCCATATGTCGAATCTAGAAAAAAGTAATTGCTTGTTCATTCCGCGGTAACAATTATAAAAAAAAAAAAATATTCAAGGTGAAGATACACACATTCCTAGTACCATCCTCAAAGCCGGTAAACTTGCAAAATGAAAATTTTGTTCACACAAACATGACAATTGTACTGCTGTGACTTGCGCAAATTGCAATAAATATTTAGGTAAACTTTATATTTCTTATATAGTTATTACATTCCTTAAAAAATATATTTTATTTGTGGTAAAATTAGAAAGAACAAATTAAAAATAACTTAAATAAATATATTTTTTTTCTTGAAACATTTCACTCTAATATTAAACTTCATATCGGTATTTTGCCATAGATCCTTTCTTGGTCCAAGTATCAACATGAGCCTGTAATTGTAGTATAATTAGTTATTTTGTCTTTTAGACGTATTTATATTATTCACAAAAATAGTTTTGCGGCACTACATTGAACAGAATATTGTTAGAATTGCAATGTGCATTGTAGTTATAGTGCCAATCAAATCAACTGGAAGAAATAACTGTAAATTAGTATTAAGAATAAAATACTAATAACGGGTGGCCAAATTTCGCTACGACGATAAGAACCATTTATCAGAAATACGTGTCCTTTATCGAAACGGTATTTTATATTATATATTCAGTAGAAACTCGATTATCCGAAATGGTTTTTATGAAATTTTAAATGCCATTGTGTTTTGAGTACATCAAACAAATTTCAGGATTATCCAAAGCTTTGTATATCGTAAAGACTTGATTCCACCAAGTCGGATACTCGACTTTCTACTGTAGTTATCGCTGTTCCATACTGGATATTACTGTTACTTTACAACCGGTTAGGTTCGTTTAATTAACCCGTTATAACCAATGAAATTCTGTTTTATATCGAACTTACCTCATATCCTATAATACTTCGACGATTGTACAACGTTTCTTTCAGCTTCCTTCTGAAAAAAAAAGTAATAAACTTATGACGATTGGATTCAAATAAAATGACGGTGATAATACTAATAATAAGAATTCATGATGAATTTTACATATTGTATTTAGAAAAATGAAAGAAATATATACAAAGCGTTATAAACGAAATGAAATCAATAACTAAATTAAAGAAGAGCTCTATTTCTTTTATTAACCCGATTAAATCACCCATGAAAAATACCTGATATTTCTGACCCTAAACCAAATGCGGATCCTTCATACACTGGCAAACTAATGGTAATGATTATAAGCGGTAAAGGCATAAAAAATTAGAGAATGAAAAAATAAAACGGTTTGCAGTATTAAAATTTTTCTGACGAGTAAAAGGCTCGCGTAATGATGTGTCGAAATCCCGCTCTTTACAGAGATCAAGAAATCCAAAATTTTTTAACATTAAATTGAGTCGCTACGCACGAATAAAATTTTCTCGTTGTTCAGAGAGGATCTATTGTTGACTCGTGCGATTATTGATTGCGAGTGCTTTTTCGAGTTTTGATTCATTTGCAGCAATTGTATAAGTAAATTTACACTACATCTTTCTAGATTTAGATACTTTTTAACTTTGATAAGCAAAATATCACAATTAGCGGCTGTGGTTTTCGATAGGAATTCATCGGTTTCATTCAGAGGAATGGGATCTTTTCATTATTAATTTTCCAATGAAATTGTTAAAACAAAATAAAAATTAATAAATAGCCTGTTTTAAATCTCTTATTCTCGCTATGCGAGTTCTGTTTTCACAACATTCGCTCATTTTCCTTTGTAGAATAGAGAATTGAAGTGGCACACTTCGGGCCATGCCGAGCCCCAGGATGGCGCCTGGTCTTGGTCTGGTGTGATACGGGTGCTTCCGAAAGATGCGGAGAAGTGGCATACACCCTACGTCAAACGGCTGGTGGTCGTAACTCCGGACGACAGCGCCTCGTCTCTCGTCCGTTATCTGCAGTGGCGATATCCCGAAGTTCCGGAAAGGACGGTGGAGACAGGACTTGACAGAAAAAAGTCCGAAGAAGTTGTGGAAGAATCCGTCGAGCGTAAAAGGCCTTGGTGGAAAAGTTTGTTTTGCTTCTTCTGACGAGGCCTTACGCAGATTTCGACTTTCCACCGAATGTGACACACCACCCGGAATTGACCTTTCACCCGGCTACGACTTAACTGGACTTGACTTTCTATCCCAATTTATGGATGGATACTTCGACATCATTTGAGATTCGTTCTTCCACTTCGGTTAAAGTGCATAGAACAACGACGGTGACAACGAAACGTTTAAGCAGTATTCTCGTGTTTAATTAAGAACTGTGTTTAAACGACTATAACTGGTCGATGCAACTTATAGTAGGCTTATACAGACTGTATTTCAACCGATGTTCTACTAGTAAAAAATTTCACTCCAAAATAACGGATATTGGTCACTAGAATGCGCTAGACGTTGAACATTTCCACGTTGAACTTTAAACTACACATTGCAGTCGATATATGTCCAAAGCAGAATTATAACTTAAGAATTATAATTACTTAAACAAGTACATTTGTACATGGAATTTTCATGACTACATATATTTTTACATTAGCGCTGAACGTCCGAAGTACACGTTTTCGCGATGATTTTCGCGATGAAAACGTCAGCCGCAACCTCTCTATTCCAATTCCAGTTTGACGAAAATATAGATTTTCACGACCAATAAACTATAATATCAAGAGCTGAAAGTAATAAAATTAAGTACAAATCGTCAAATATTAGTGTTATAAACAAGTAAAACGGCAAAGCCATTCTTGGGACCAGACTATGTCTCGGAGAGCGCGAATCTCGCACTCGCGCCTATTTGTAGACACAGTCTCAGCATTTCGTATTTTCTTTTGACCAGGTTCTCGGTCCCCTGACTACTTACAAGTCTGGTTTATTTTATGTGCGCATGATTTGCCCACCAAATACTCTGTGCCAAATTTCAACTCCTGACATGTACGGTACTCCTTCATACACAAGGTGTGCAGCCGTTGACAGTAGTGCAATTTTAGAGACCAGACATAGTCTCGTCAATAAATAAGTGATAAGTAATTTGTATAAAAATCATTTATAAATAAATTACAGATATTACTCATCATGAATGATATTCAGAATAAAAACTAAACTATGCCTATCTGTGAGTAAAATCTGAAAATTCATGTAAAAATGGAATTAAAATTTCATTATATAGGAAATTTTTGATATTTTATTAATTGATGTTCGATGTTATAGTCAAATAAAAGAGTGAAACGTGTAATCGGAATTTTAAGAAAGTTATTATAAAACACTTAAGATGACTTACCCAATTCTGATAATTTTTTCCTTGTTTTCGATATTGGAAGTCCATAATCCAATTCTATCCACTCTTGCTCTAATCTGTACAACTACTCCACATATTTCATCATTGTAATCATCGAACATTTCTCCAATCATACACAATAACTGGAAAACAATTTTTATATTAACATTTAGAATTTCTGGTTTTACTAAGATGAGTTTAATAAAATAAAAGATTTCAAAAAAACCTCTTTATAAAACAGAGAGAATTAAATGGATAAATATTTAAGCTTATACAAAATTCTAGGGTTTTGTATCTTAAAGCAATACAATTACGTTAAGGATTTAGGTTTTTTTTAACTCTCTCTCCGCCCTGTGGGCACTAAGAGGACATCTTTTTGCGAGCCCATTATGGATTCGGCCAGGCCCACAATAGGGAGGCCGAGTGGTGAGGAACGGGGCCCGACATATCCCGACGGACCACCCCCTTTCAGAACAGCAGGCTGAAGTCTAACTTCTTCTGATCTTCATCTGGCCACGATGATCCTCCTAATCTATTAACTATAGTAGTATTGTAGTAGTTAAGATATAAATTACTTACAGTTTCTAACCAATAATTATCTAAATCGGTGGTCCTCAAATGTTTCGCTACGTTAACGACCCATCTTCCTCCTGCTTGATTTTTTTCGTCTTCCCACATTGGCTTAATTCCTTCCTAAGATAATAATCGACATCAAACACTTGCATCGTCACTTACAAATATTTTTTTACCACTTTACTTACTTTAAAAACAGCATAATCGCATCCCGTTGATAATTTACTGGGTCGTTCGATATGATTATAAAGACTGAAAAAAATATATCATTTAATGTTATTTATTTTAAACAAAATTTATATTATTATAGGGTGTCTATATTTATGAAACTGTAAAAAACTAACTTATGATTAAAATAAGCAAATATTCATATATTTTTTATGCTAATTTTATAACTTGTTTACCATTTTAGTTGTTATTAGAGGTTTAATATGTCTACGTCTGCTCGTAAATATTAGCACATTTTGCAAAGCACTTTATGGCGAACACTTTAAAAATATAAATCATACAAATCTTTATACAGTTTTTAAGTGAAATACACTAAGAAATATTCTGGAAAGATTTGTAATAAAAACATTTTTTATATTTTAGAATTGAAAAAAGTTTAGGGTCAGTTGTTAGAAAAGACGTACATGAAACCATGTAAAACTGTAATATTCTCCTTTTTAAAATAATACGTGAATTGTGTTGCTTTTTATGGTTTTTAATTCATTAATTTAAATAGTAGTGAACAAAAATCTATCTGTAACCGAGAACAATACATTTTTAAAAGCAAACGTTTAGCCATTCAGATTATTCATTTAACAATGCTTTCATGTGTTTTATCTCCACTATTCATCCATTTGTAAGAAACTTCGATGTGCTTTTCGAAAGTAGTACCTAGAATATTGTAACTTATAATGCAAATCCACTACGGTGTTACAACTACATAGAATTGGCCATATGTTAATCAATATAAATTCGTTTAATACTGGAAGATATAGAGTTACTTTTTTATATACGATGGTTAAGATCAAAGTATACGTAGTTTTTACATTTTACGTACATTTTTGACCAAAGTATACGTAGAACTCCGTGAAACTAATGCGACGATACCTCGTTACATCATTTAATATATATAATAATTAATTAAATACGTTATAAAAATTACAATGTATTAATTTTGTAAAAAGACAATGCATTTCCCTAATGGAGAAAGAAATCTAAAAAATTAAGATTTTCAATAAACGATCTGGGTGAAATACAGTCGACCCCCCCTATAACACTGTTGATTATTCCGTTTTATATAAATTTCATGTTGTACGAGTCACTTAGATTTTACAAATACGTGAGCCGTTCACATCCCAGCACACGAATTTGTAAAATCTAAGTGACTCGTACAACATGGAATTCATATTAAACGAAATATTCAACAGTGTTATAGGGGGTCGACTGTATGTAACTGTACGGCAGAGTATTAACACTTTAAATTTACTGATATGTAAATTATACTAATTTTAGAATAACCAATACTCTATTTTATTAGAATCAACAAACAATTTACATAAGATAAAAGCAAATTTCTTCCCAAGCATTTTAAGAAATATTGCAAGTTTAGAAAATTAAAATCACGAAGTAAATATCAATACTTGTTCTACGACTTCTTACAGAATTCTAAGCAGAGAAGAATATCAAAAGACAGGTCAACTCCACTCATGTTAATTAATAATTAATTATGTTCGTTTAGGTGTAAAGAAGGCACGAAGACATCAAAGTTTTACTTTTATTTGTATGTTTTTCAATCATTCAATTTTAAGTCTTCAATGTTATTTTTTTAAAATAAAAAAATATATAATTTATTTCAATCAAAAAATGATATTTCATTTCATTCATTGTTTCTTGAGTTTAGTAAATTACTCTTGAAATTAATGCACGATTAATTATCCAATATATTACTGTCATTTCTTTTAATTTGTTTAAATTGACGTATTGTCAAAAGAACAAAATACTTACGCCCAAAAGTCTTCCACGGTATCGAACGAAGCGATTTTTATCAGATTTTCTTCCCAAAGTTTAAATTTATCGTTTTTATAATACCAAAAACACCATTTATATTCCAAGGGATGTTTGATCACCAGTTCAGATCTCTCTTCTCCCTGTAAAAGTATATCCAACAGAATCAATTCGAACGAAATTTGATTATAGAAAAATAAATAAATCTCATTTAGTTAGACTACAAAATGTAACGTTAAATTCTATCATTGCGAATATGTTAAAATTCAAAATTCTGATGGCTTACACCAGTTAAGAAACTCGATTTTATGGTGTTACAACTCATTAAAAGTATTTATTCTTAGTAAATTAACACCATTAAACTGAGTTTCTCAACAGGCCAAAATATGTTAAATTTATTAAACATTCTGATAAGTTAAACGTATAATATACATATATATTTGATGTAGCCTATATTTTTTTTATATTATATTGCTATAAATTTAAAGTTTAGAACAAATAATTGAAATTATTAGTTTATTTTAAACTTTAATTGCTTGTTCTAAAATTCAAAACTTGATTTTCTTAATGAAAAATGACAATAAAATAATTAAATTTCTAATTTAATAAGAATAAAGCACGTTGTCTATAGGCGTTAAAGTTGTTTATTTTCATATTATTTAATTAAAAACGAGTGCTTTCGACATTCTGAAAGCACTCGTTTTTAAGAAGGAAAACTGTAATTAAATTTTAATATTTTAAAAATGAAATGGAAGAGAAAACAGACCTGTGATTTTTCAATAGACATTTTAATAAATCAATCTTTCAGTTACTCCCTTTTTATTTTCAAATAAGAAATGAAATTCTTTCGATGTTGTTCGAATTGGACAAATTCTAATTGAATAATTCCGTACGTTTTCAAATTTAAATGTGAAACGTCATTCGAATGATTGCATAAACGATAATAAAATTCGAAATTTTCGCATCGGTAAATAAGGAAATAAACTCGTTTATTATTCAGTTTATATAATATAATTTACTTATACACTATTATTTTATCGGTAATTTTTAATTTGAATTTCTATTCTCAACCACGTCTGCCAACGCATTTTGTGGCAGCGCTAGTGAAATTGTAAACAATATAGCTACGAATCGAGGACAACACGTGTGGATATAACTACAAAAAATTCTTACACATTATAATATTTACTCTTATCTTTTAGTACAGTCTTCGAAAGTATTATCCATAATTTCTTAAACAAGCAAATTTTAACTTGAACAAAACACACAACTTATTTGAATAGCGTCGACAGTTAAACAATCCCTCATGTATCTAATGACAATCTTACCAGTTAACACTTGACATGCATCACTTCTTTTCTGGACACTGGACTTTCTCACAAGAAACAATCCATCAGTGGCGTGTGCCGTCATTGGAAGCGGTGGATGCGCCGCTTCCCTTGTGTTTTCTAAAAAATAAATACATATTACTTTTAATTATATGAAAATAATCGCGCAATATTTTATTATAACCGCATTATGTATCTTATTACAAATTTCTATACTACATGTGAAAAAAAAAAACAGAAGTTTCTCCGGTTCAATGAGAGTGACCGAAAAGTTGTAAATTTTGGAAATTTCCCTGGACACCTGGTCCTAAAACGAATTAGAAAACAATTGGCTATTAAGTTTAACATATTTAGATTTTTTTACAGCTATGGTGAGAAACGTTTAAAATTTACAACAGCCCTGTCGCGTCCTTTGAGATATACAGTCGATCCCCCTATAACACGGGTTCCTATAGTTCGGATTCCTATATCACGGCGAAAAAATTGCGACAGTATTCGTACAAACATGCTAAAAAAAACTCGTATAATTCGGTAAAACGTCATTGCCGACTCGTGTCGCGACAGGATTGGTCGAATCTAGACCAATAGCGAATATTGCACAAACCGTTGAGTTTAAACGAGCAGCGGACCTACTAAAAACCATTTATTATTTAACGTCCATAAAAATTATATTTATATTTATATTAATGATGTCTGCAAAGTTCAGCGAATTTTTCTCAAAAAAAAGAAATAATAATTTATCAGAAAGCACGCGAGCGCTATTCGATGCACCGCTCCACGACGAAAACAAGCTTAAGCAATGGCGTAGTCGAACGGTGCACACTCGGTAAGTAATCCTACGATTTTTTGTTTATAGCATAGTTTATATGGATTATTCCCAAAAAATTATAAGTATTTTGGAAATGTCGAGTCGAATTAGTCTAGAATCGATTAATTTTATGGAAAAAAAACCTTTCAAACAGCTATAGTCCGTAAACTGCATACTGTGATTGGCTGGATTCGTAGAAAATGGATTCATAAAAACCGGAATGTATCTACCGTGTTATAGGGGGGATCGACTGAACTGTACTAGTGATGCGACAAAAGAGGCATTTGACATTAACCGGTATCGGCACCCTCGGGATTTGGCAGCCCGCGTGCATGCACGCACCGCACACCTAGCAGGACCATCTCTGATTCCACTCGTAGGGAGCTATTTGACTAAATGGTTAAGATTTTAAAGAGTAAAGAATATTTTATGTTTTATGTTTAAGTATGCACATGTACTGTACACGCATGCTCACACACACAGAGAGAGAGAGAGTGGGAAGAGATCTTTTATTTTGCTTGGAAATTTTGTAATACATTAGTAATATTAATTACAGAATAGAGAATTGGTATGTGTCGAAAGTCTTCAACTCATGTCTTACGCATTTACGTTAGAGGATTGTTGGTTTCATGTACAGTATAAAAGCATTTTACAGTATTAGGCCTATCTTTTTTTTAATAAATGGATTTTAAAATGGTTCTTACAAAATACCGTACATATTTATACATAAAGCATCTATTTCCTAACATTTTTACACATTAAGCCACTTCTAGATGTATTAATGGTATTTCAAGTTTATCTAAATTTTTTTCCTACAGTTTGTTTTTGTTAAGTAATGGCAACGCGATCTGCCTAGGGGACGCTTTCCGGGAGGTCTTTTAAGGGAAACTGGCCCCTATTTAGGCGTCACAGACGTGGAGAAAACCCGGAAAACTCTACTTGACCAGCCCGTCCGAGGAGGCGCGAACCCATACGACCGAACTCCCAGTGTTCAGGGTACGAAGACCGCTTGGTCACTGGTGGGCCTTCTACAGTTCCATTTCTATATGGAAATTATCACCATATGACATGAAAATTTTTAATGTAATTTGGAACTTCATTACTTATCCATAAAGGCATATTATTTGAATATATTTTAAATTTCAGACCATGAACATTTCTAAAATATTTATAAGCTAACCTCTCAAGATTTTTACATTTTTGGACTCAAAGCACCTTGAAACATCGAGAACAGCAAAAAATTTGTGATTTTTTTCTGTATGTATGTATGGATGGATATGTGGGGGGGACATTTTTGTTCACCCAATTTGAAGCTTGATAACTCCTGTGTCTTTTGTCGACAGTTTCTGAAATTCTGCAGGGAGGTATGTGTATTAGGGAACTTGATCCTATTAAATTTTGCCGGTTAAATGTCAAAAGGATGGGGAGATAGAAGGGGTCCATGTGTCGTATCTCAAGTGGGGTCGGACGTAACGATTTTACTTATTAGTATTTACAATTTTTTATAAACTCATCTCTACCCTCAAAATTAAAATGTTTATCATTTTATAATAATTAATAGTATAAAAAAATGGTTTTTAAAAAAAATATCATAACAGATGGCGCCACACCAATTAAAATTTTGGTACCGGAAAAGTTACGCAACTCGTTCCTAGATTTTTTTTATTAGAAGACGTTTTCAACTACCATAATTTTAAGGATTAAAAAAAAAGAGTCATCGTAGAAAGTTGCGAGTATAAATACAATTAGCGATTAGTTTATGAATTCGTTAATACGCTACTATCCAAAACAGAAATTATTTACAATTAATTCATTTACAACATGATTCTATATTAAGTAATTAGCTATTTCTGCTTAAAAGTTACGTCATAACATAATTCTGTAAATTATATTTTGAATCTTTGCAAGTATTCCTACATTCTTTGTGAAATACTTACTTGAACTTATTTAATGCTTAAAATGCTGATTTAACACATATATATTTAAAAACCCACACAAACTGGAAATCTGGATGGGATCCATTCCAAATTAGTCCAGATTTTTAATGTTTCACTACAATTGAAGTGGCCAGCATGGATAAAAGATAGGGAACAATGCCACTTTTATTACTTATGTATAGGGAATTCGATCCCGGTCCTTATTTCTAATCCCGGGATTTCGGGATTATACTTAGTCAATCCCGGGATCATTTCGGTATTGAGGGTTAATAAAAAATAAGAAAATCTTACAGAAATCAACAAATCAAAATTTAGACAAAAATCAACGTATTTTACGGTATACACCTAGCTAATTTAGTCACTCTAACTAATCAGACTTAGAGTTAGGCTAAGCAGACTTAAAATCACTCCGTCTTCATGTTAAACATCACTGAGATCTCTTTAAACTCACATAAATTGAAAAAACCTTTATGTAACAAACTATGCAAATAAACGTTGAAAATTAACAAAAATCTCTCTTAACATCGACTAAATAGACTACTTTCATATAACAACCTAGTAAGTAGGTAGTAAAGTAAGTTTCTTAGCAAANTGTATATAATGATCAGTTTGTTCTGATTATGAATTGTTGCTTGTTTTTTAGATGTAATAAATTAGTATCCTGTATGTATTAATAGCTTATCAACTACTTGAATAAATCAAGTATCGTCTATTTATATCAAAATCGACGTGGTTGAAATTAGCATAACTTCATCTTCAAATAACCTTGAATATTGATTGCCAACGTGAGGAGTGAATGTTGTTACTTTTCTTGTATTCTAAGCACGTAAAAACAATAATATAAATAAAAATAAACTCAGATCGGTCATATCTTAACACACTGAAGACAGGATTTAAAAAATGAATCAGAAACCATGCCCAAATTTTGGCTTATATTCATGTTTTTAAAGAGTATTCTGGTACTGGTACATTACAAGTACTGGTATTGCATCCTAGAGATTTTGTTTTGCTATTTAATGCACTTCCTATTTAGAAAATTAAATTACTTTTTAACCATAAAGCTGTCCTATTATATCGCGAATATAACAGAGAAATTTTCCAATGCAAAATACTATATCATTTATACGGTTAATCTATTAAAGACGTAGCCTATTTTATTCAGAAAAATGAAATAGAACAAATGTGGTAATCATAATATTGTAATTAAAAAAATTTAATTAATAATAATAATATCTCAGAAATAAGAACGATAGAAACATATCGATTTTATCTCCAGGTAACCTATATTTGAGATTACATACAATAGAAAATTAAGGAGCCATTTTTATTCATATACAAATACAGATAATGTTACACAGTTCAGAAATCTGAGTTCTCTATTATAATAAGATTTTTTCATAAGTTTAAATGGAAGATTAAAAAATGAATTCTAGAGTTTAGCAGTTTAACATTAAATCGATATATGAAATCAATATTTAAGCTCAATTTAAAAAAAGACTGTAATTTAAAATGTTTAGCAAGTTGATGATCAGAATAATATGAGAGTTTCCAATAATACTTAAGGAAGTACAGTACTCTCCAAGACTTATTAATTTTTATATTAATTGTAATTATAGCCAGAATATCAACATTTTATCATCATTATTCATGAGAATTTACATAAGTTTTAGACCTAAGATTCTTCCTATCATTTTTAAATACTGTACATCAATCTTTTAGAAATCCCATATCAAACACTACATGTACAGTATATATAATATTTGATATAGCCTACATATATATATAAATATAGACAGTAGTGTGTGTGTAACGTTCATTGAATCTAATAAACTAACGTACAGATCTT